CGTTTTGTTCGGGAAAAGTTTTGCTTTTGAGAGTTCTGCTCTACCATTAAGCTGCATGTTATTCAATGAGACCAGCAGGATTTCTCAAACCTTTTTATTCCTCCTTCCCATTAAGGTTGTGAATGAGCTACAGCCATGAAAGTTACCCCAATCGGAGACAAAGGATAGCTCTCGCTTAGACTGAAAGAATTTTTTAGATACCATTTACGGTTTGTCTTCAGCACTTGTTTGTTCGGAGCTGATAATCCCATTCAAAAAAGCCTGAGAACTAAGGAACGATAGTGCTGCGCGTTTCTCTCTGTCACTGACAGGCTCGTTAACGTTGTCAAGGTAACCGAGCTTCAAACAGATTTTACCTCCACCACTTTAAACAGCACATTTTAATCTAATGGAGGGAGACAACACTGATTTAACATTAGGAAGTGGATACAATATGACTACTGGCCATGACCCTTCCCTTCACACGCAACCCTGATAGACTTTCAAAATAAGACTCCGGGGACCCTTCAAAATAAAAGCCCCTACATTAAACTCATATTTTTTTCCCAGCATATGGGTCAACATTATGATCCGAACTCAACCACTTTTTTAAAAATAAGACTCTAGGGGTTTTTCAAAACACACCCCACAGCAAATTTCAAAATAAAAGCCTCCCATTGCCACTTCATCTACTGCCCTAATAAAAGGGGAAAGAGTGATTTAATGATTGGAAAGTCATCAAGTATCACTGCTGGGTCTGACCCTTTTCCTCAACACACAACCATGCTAGACTTTCAAAATAAGACTCCAGTGACCCTACAAAATAAAAGCCTCTATATTATACTTGTGTATTAATTGATGCAAATGGCTCAGCATTATGACCCAAACTCTACCAGCTTGTTTCTATTAGACCCTAGGGACCTTTTCAAAACATACCCTGGAGTGAATTTCACAATAAAAGTCTCCCATTTACGCTCTAACACAGCATCTATTCACCCAATAACATGGAAAACAAGTGATTTCATATTTAGAAATGGATTCTATATCACTGTTGGGCATGACCCTTCCCTTGAAACACATCCATGATAGACTTTCAAAATAAGACTAAAGGGACTCTGCAAAATAAAAGCCTCTTTCTTACATACACTCATTCATTGTGCCGTATGGCTCATAGCTATGACCCAAACTCAACCAATTTCTTCAAATTACACTACCAAGGCCTGTTGACCACACACCTCAGTGCATATTTCTTAATCAGGTTCTAAGATTTACACTGTAATAAAGCATCTGATAACCTCGTAACATGCAGCCTAAGCCTGCCAACGGTGCTGTCATCAACACAGCAGCTCATAACATGCAGGTTAGATTTTTGGATAAATTCAGCTCCTTAAGTTTTATTAGCTCTCTTTTTATAAGCTTCTCTCTCTCTCCTTCCTGTGCTTCTTATGGTCAGTCTTGTACTTTGGTGTGTGGATTTTCAAGCTTCTAAGGATGACACTGTTTTCTCTATGCTGATCGACTGACACATTTTAATTAATTTCACATTTTTTTTACAAGTCTTGTCATTTCCACATATGATTTCAGACTTTAATACTTATTATACATATTCAACATTTATCTTCCTATCCTTAAGCTACTCATTTTTGTCTTCAACTAGTTAAGATTAAACTTTTTTACTGTTTATGTTACCGTTTTTGCTATTTTATATAATTTCTGCATATTTTTTCCAATTTTGGCTTGATTCTGCTCTCTTTCTGGAAAGACATTAAGCTTTTCTGCTTGCTGTTAATTCATAACATTTCTGCCATGTTTCTGCTGTTGGCTTCAGCTACTTTTAAGAAACTAATTAGACATTTTTTTTTGCTATTCCATACCATTTCAGCAGCTTTGACTTTAAATTTCAGCTTGTTTCTGCCATTTAAACCTTACAGCTTACAGTTTAGCATACAGCATTCACACTGCATTTTCGCAGGAAATGCAACTTTTTCTAGTTTAAATGTAAATTCTCTTGTTCCGTTGGCAAAATGTATCTTTTACCTTCATATTTCAAGAACAAATGCACTTATTTTAAGGAAAAATTACTCTTGATTTAAATATTTTCCAGTGCGCTCACAGAAGGGAAAAACAACAATCGAAAATATATGAAGAAAACAGAAATAAAATTGATAAAGAAAACTAAAAAAATGAAAGATCACTGGACAGCTGTCCCCAGAAGCCAGCTCTGTAGAAACCGTGCGGCTGAGCTCATGAAGAACTGGACCTGTGTTTTTGGGGAACCAGTGAAGTGGTTCCGGCTGTAATGTGGACGGATCTGGGTTTAAATCCCGGTCGGGTCAGGAAGGGAATCAGGGAAATTGATGGAGCAGCTGGAAGCATACGAAAGATGAGAGGCTGGTTCCTTAAAATAAGTCTGTAAAGCTGAATGAAGCATGAATCTGTTTTTATGTCTGATTCAGCCTGCAGATTACGTCTGCTTTGTGTATTTCTATATCCAGAGCCGTTCCTTCTGTGTAGATCTAGGTGAGATGGCAGAATGAACAGTTAAACGTTTTTCTGTGGGAAGAAGAACGATGATGCTCGTTTACAAGAAAGTGTCAGCCTCACCATCACCATGGAAACATGTTGCTGTTGGCCAGAAGCGAAATGAAAGGCGGTTCTTTAAGTTAAAGTTCTGGCCTGCAGGAACCTCTCTGACCATCTCCTCCTTTCTAACACATGACGCCATCTTTGTTTGTGTGTTGACCTTCTAATCCAGCCTTTCTGACGTGATGAACTGATCCTTTCCTCCGTCACCTCTTCCATGTCTGCTCTGAGCTCTTCCTTCAGCTCTCCTCCGTCCTCTTTTTATCCGTCTGTCTTCTCTTTGCTGTGTATCCAGCCTTTTACAGCGCGGCGCCGCTCACCTCGGCAGGCATCATCCCCATCATGCAGTCGCTGTGCCCTGATGGACAGAGGGATGAGTTTGGATTCCTGCAGTACAAGAACTCGACGTGAGTACAAGTCAGCAGGGACCTGATTTCTCCTTCCACCCGTTGTCTTGTGGGATTGTTCACTGCCAGAGAAGCTTAAACCAAACAAGTCCACCGGAACGCCGCTAAACACCAGCAGGACTAAATGAGCAACTGTTAAACACGTTCAATCTAGAAAGGGTAAATAAAGTCACATCTAGATCTGGATTAAAATGAAGCAGGCTTTCCTGCATAAACAATCCGGGCGGTCCTAAACTCAACGGGTCAGACTGACATCCTGCTAGAACCTTCCTTCTCTGTTAGATCAGATTAGGCTGTTATTGGATGATTCATCGCTCTAAATCCAGTTTTACCGGCCACCAGCTTAAAACCAGGTAAAATGAGTGGTGTAAAGCTCACTCTAGTGGTGATATGTAGAGTCTGGCTACAGACTTCCAGTGAGGATGAGAACTGATGAAGGGAAGTACTTGGTTACATGTGAAACTAGAGTCTGATTAAAGGCCACTAGTTTGAAAGCAAATAAAATGAATGTTACTGTAGCTTAGGTTTATTTTAGAATAGAATAGAATGAAATTCTGGTTTTTACAGCAGCAAAAACATAAGAAAAATAGTCACACATATAGGGACCTTAGAAAAATCTATAAGAATAACATAATAGTGAAAGGTTAAAAAAATAAACAATAAAATAGTGTACTGTAAAGGGTTTTAACAATATCAATACAGTACAGCTATGGACATTTTTTACAGTTATGGATATTTGAAAATAGCAGCAACATCAGAGATGTGCAAAATGGCAGCAGCATGTTATTTAACTGACTGAGGTAGAAACTGCAAAATCAACATGAATGTAACAACTTATAAAGGTTTTTGGGAACAGCGATGGTTCTAGAGTCTTCCAGCTGCAGGGAGGAAGGATCTGTGATAACGCTTTGTGGTGCATTTAGGGTGCAGCAGTCTGTCACTGAAGGAGCTTCTTTAGGTGGAGTTTACTAGTATATTTCTGATAAAATTTTTGACCTGTTTTGGAAAACTATTAAATACAAGTACAGTTTTCCTGAAAAAGAAGAATCTCCTTTGATTTGAGCAGTTAAAACAATTAACCAGTGCATTAAGAAGATTGATCTTTAAAATAAGAAAAAAACAACAACTGTATAATATCTACTCACCTTATTTTAAGGGCAGCAATATTCATTCCACTGGCAGAACATCTTGTTTAATGTTCAAATTAATGGCAAATGTTTTTGTAGTGTAGCTTGGTAGCCCCTGCAAAGATTTGGAATCTAAATAAGTATTTTTTTACTTAAAATAAGTGAATTTTTTCTTGAATTGAGGAGGTTAGTGAGATACTTTGCCAGTGGAACAAGACAATTACCACTAAAATTAAGAAAAAAACTGCATTTATTTATTTCAAGTGCATATTATCTAATTATCTTATTTTAAGAGTAAAATACCAATTCCTTTGGCAAATCATCATAAATTAAGTGTATTTACCCTTAATTAGAGTAAGTGAATAGGATGATTTGCCAATTGATTTTGTATTTTTACTCTTAAAATAAGATAATTAGATATTATGCATTTGAAAAAAGACAATGCAATTGTTTTATTTTATTTTTTTAAATGTAAATTGTCTTCTTCCATTGACTAAGTTGTCTCACTTGCCTCCTAAATTCAAGAAAAATGCACATATTTTGTTAAAAAATGATTTATTTAGATTTCTATTTTTTGCAGTGTGATAGCCTTGTGTTTTGATCAACCAGTCGGGCTTCCTGGTACCTGATCAGAATCAGAACCAGGCCCGGAAGTTCTGCAGCGTTCTGTGGATACCAGGTTCTGACCCTGTTTTATTTCCAAACCTTCTTCTTCCAGAGTGACTCAGCTGCTGGAGCGCATCAGCGAAGTGGTGGAACAGAACCGCCTCTTCACCTCTGACAGACCGGATTTGGGCCAAGACCTGAAGACTCTGCAGCAGCGCCTGGAGAGTCTCAGTGCTGCAGCGTTACCACCTGAGTACAACTTCAGCAGCAGCCAAGGTCTGATTCCTGAACCTGTACCGGTATACTGGGCCGGACCCAAAGATGGAGCCCGGAGCCCAAAACATCCCCTGTACCATCAGTTCTGGCTGAGTTCTGACTGAGATGTTTAGCAGATGAAGCCCATAGGGATCAACGTAAAGCAGCTAACGGGTTCCTGAATCTCATGAAGCTCGTATAGAGCAGGCCAGTAAAACCAGTGAAGCAGTGTGCTGGGAACCATGGGAGCCTCAGCAGCAGCTGCTGACGCCTCATCAGGACCAGTTTATTTATATAAAAAAAAAATGTTCAGCTGCAAATGACCAGAACTAATGTTGCCACTGACCTAGCAGCTCTTAGAACGGTGCATTCAGTGACCAGAAAGAGGTGGGAGATTTGACCTTGATGGTTAGGTCAATGGCCTCAGCTCTACTGGTTCTGAGGGCATACCTAAACATTACTGTTGTTTTGTTTTTTTTATCTTGGGGCGGGGGTACAGCACTAGTGGCTTTTCGACAGTAGGCTGACAGGTGAGAGTGAGGGAGACATGCAGCAAAGGAGCACAGGTCGGATTCGAACCCTAGGTCGGCCACGTCGAGGACTAAGGCCTCCAGACATGGGTTGTGCTCACTAACCACTGCGTCACCTGGATTAGAACCGTTAAGCACTCTGATAACTCTGCAGATCATCCCAGCAGCGTTTCAGGAACCTTCTGTAGGATTATCAGTGAAACAAAATATTAACGTAGAAATCTGGTTTGTAAAGTTCTAGAACCCTGGTTCAGTTAGCTCTTCTTCTACTCTAGAAAACATAATTTATTCATAAACAGCTGAGATGGAGGGCTGTGTCTCATAACCCCCTCCGGTTCAGTACTTCTGCCACACTGTCAGAGAAACCACTATATTCTAAGGGGATCCCTTGGGTTTACTGCTACTGTAGATCTAGAGGCTGTAGATCTTACCTACTGCGTCCATATAAACCTGCTGTAACCCTGAAACCATGACCTGCATGACCTCCAGACAGACCTGGTTCAGAAACCCAAACATTAGCTAATTACCTTGGGGCTGAACTTCTGTGTTTCTGAAGGTTTTACTCTGGCTGCTGTGATGAAGAACCAGCAGGAGGTCCAGCGCTTCCTGGTCCAGAACCTCTCCCTGTCTGACTCCAGCGCCCGTACTCTCCTCCACAGTCCAGTCAGCCTCCAACAGGTAATAATAACAGTAATAAGTTCAGAGCTTCTCCCTGCTGCCCTAAAATGTTTCAATGCTGAAATTCTCCACCAATATTTAATGCTTTAATGCAGTGAATCCCAAATGCAGGTACTTGTACCCCTGCTGGTCTGCGAGTGCATTGCAAGAGGCACATTAAATATTGTATTTCTCAGGTGATGATATAAAATAGGGCTGGGATCTATTCTGCTTTCTGAGGACCCAACTAAAAAATAAAACAAGCTTTTATCAAGCAAAAAGTAAGTTATTGTTCTATGTTTTGAGTTCACCTTCAGCTTTAACATACATCGAAACTGAGCAGAGGAACCGACTGGATGTAGAGAACAGTCGTTTTTCCCACACCTGAGCTCATCAAAGCAGCACAGGCGTCTTGAATGATGAAAACAATGTAAAATAAATGGATTAAGTCTCACTATTATTTTTGTTCTATATTTTTTTCCCAATTCATTATGTTTAAATGTGATTACAGGGGATTTACTCAGAGGAGCTCCAGTTTTAAAAAGTCAGATATTATAGTATGATTTTATGTTGTATTTATTTTGATTCCTTAACTAACTTCTGGGCAACATATTTATGTCGATTTTTTTTTTAAATTTGAGTTTGAAGGAATAACATTCCAAAGAATGAAGTGGTCAACTTAAAAAGATTAAATAAAATGCTCCTTATTTTCAATTTAATTCAATTTAATTAAGTTTATTTCTATAGCGCCAATTTACAACACGTCATCTCAAGGCACTTTACAGTTTACAAATCATCCAATCAAATTAATTCAAAGTTTTCTATTTAAGGAAAAAAAGTTGATTGCATCGACTCATTGACTCAAATACAATCCCTCACACTAATGCTTGTAGCGACAGTGGAGAGGAAAAACGAAAGTTACGTATGTAACTACGGTTCTATGAATCCCGGATGACCGCCAGAGGGCGGTGCTGAAAGCACTGAATGTTCCCTTCGGGCATGCGCAGTTCGAGTAATTATACCAACAGAGTCACACCTGTGACACCGGATGACCACTCAGAAGCTATATAGCCTGGTGTCATCCTTTGCTCTGCTCCTACAGAATCTTCTCGCAAAAGCAAGGAATCTGAGTGACAGAGAAGCTCTGGCGGTCATCCGGGATTCATAGAACCGTAGTTACATACGTAACTTTCGTTCTATTTCATCCCTACTGACCGCCAGAGGGCGGTGCTGAAAGCACTGAATGACTAATGCCAACGATGTCACAAGGAATCCTGAGCACATACCTCACAGAGGAGGCCCAGCAGAACCTTGTAAAAGGACCTGACCCAGGGGATGAGGGGCAGCCACATTGACACTGTAGAACCTGGTGAAGGTGGTTGGGGAAGCCCATGAAGCAGCAGCACATATAGCAACCAGCGGAACCCCTCTCAAAGCAGCCCAGGAAGCGGTGACGCTCCTGGTGGAATGTGCTCTCACACCGACTGGCAGGGAGCAGTGACCTGCAGCGTAGGCGTGGCAGATGACACTCACAATCCAATGGGACAGACGCTGTTTAGAAAGAGGACAGCCTAACCTTGGACCCCCATAGCATAGGAAAAGCTGGTCCGAGCGTCTCAGATTGGCGGTGGCTGCAATGTATGCCTCCAACGCTCTTACTGGGCACAACAACTCAGACTCATTCTCAGTTGTACCAGATTGAGGCTGAAACCGAGCCAGCCGCAATGGCTGGTTACGGTGAAAAGGAGACAACACCTTAGGCACAAACGCAGTATTAGGCCACAGGGTAACACCAGAGCCATCTGGATTCCACCTGATACACCTAGGGCTGACAGAAAGAGCATGCAGCTCGCTGACCCTCTTAGCTGAGACGATAGCCATCAGGAAAGCAGTCTTGCAGGAAAGCCACTTGAGTTCTGCTTGTGCCAAAGGCTCGAATGGAGGGTGGCACAGAGCTGTGAGAACCAACGGCAGATCCCAATCTGGGGCTCGTGGGGCTGGCTGCTGGCACAACCTACGAGCACCACGCAGAAAAAGTGAAACCAGTTCATGGCGCCCCACTGTACGGTTGTCAACAGTTCGGTGAAGACATGAAATTGCTGCAACATACACTTTAAGGGTCGAAGGAGAGCGGCCCTTATCAAGGAGAGACTGGAGGAACTCCAAAATAGTGGGCACCGAGCAGGAAACTGGGTTCTCATTGTGGGCAGAGCACCACTGAGAAAAGAGGCGCAATCTGTTAGCATACTGCAGCCGAGTGGAGGAAGCCCTAGCACTCAATACGGTGTGTCTCACGGTGTCTGAACACCCAGTCAGCCTCCCAGGGGCCATGCCCACAGCTGGAGACGTTGAGGGTTGGGGTGCCATATCTGTCCCCCCAACTGAGACAGCAGATCCCTCCTTGCTGGAAGACGCCATGGAGTACCGTGACACAGACTCCAAAGCAGCGGGAACCACGGCCGCACTGGCCAGAACGGAGCTACCAGCAACATTCTGTGGCCCTGCTCGAGAACCCTCCGTAGAGTCGGCCAAATCAGTGAGAGGGGTGGAAAGGCATACAGGAGAACCTGCGGCCATGGATGAGCCAGTGCATCCTGGCCCAGTGCGCCCGCCATCCCGGTTAGGGAATACCATAGGGGGCAATGGGTCGACTCCTCTGTGGCGAACAGATCTACCTCTGCCTGCCCAAAGAGGTTCCAGATTATGCGCACTACGTCGCGGTGAAGAGACAACTCTCCCGGAGCAGGTGCCTGGCGGGATAGAGAGTCCGCAACCTGGTTCTGCCGTCCTGGCAGATACGCTGCGCGCAGGGTACACAGACGGGGAAACGCCCATTCCAGGAGATCCCTCGACACCTTCAAGAGACGTGCTGACCTGGTGCCACCTTGGTGGTTTATATGATAAACAACAGAGGTGTTGTCTGTCCGAATCAGCACGTGCCTTCCCTCTAGGTGGGGCAGAAGGCACCTGAGGGCCATGTGCACAGCCCGCAGCTCCAGCACATTTATGTGTTCGGTGCGCTCCCTTGGGTCCCAGAGACCCCGAACAGCTCTGTGTTGCCACACGGCACCCCAGCCCATGAGGCTGGCATCCGTGGTGACCACCTCCCTTCGACACACTACTAGCCCCATTGGAACACCACTGGACAAAAGGGTCCCGTCTCGCCAAGGAGCTAGGGCATGGAGGCAGCTCCTGGTCACCATTAGCCTGCGATGCCTGTGCAGCCTGGCGTCTAGGCGAAAGCTGTTGAGCCATCGCTGCAAAGGACGCAGAAGGAGCAGCCCTAAGGGCACGACACGAGTGACTGATGTCAGTTTGCCCAGCATTCGCAGGAAGATGATGTAGGGAAACTCCCTGCCCAGTCTGAATCGACGGACAAGCTGGAGTATGTCGTCCACCCTGTGAACAGATGGACAGGCCATCATGGTAGCAGAGTCCAGATGCATCCCAAGAAAGGTGGTTGTCTGAGATGGAACAAGACAACTCTTTGCCAAGTTGACTTTGAGGCCTAACAGTGACACATGAAGTAGAAGCTGGGACGTATCCCGAGAGGCAGCTACCTGAGAGGGAGCACAAAGAAGCCAGGTATGGCAGAATCCTGACTCCGGAGGCCTGTAGAGGAGAGAGGGCTGCTTTCACGCATCGAGTAAACACCCTCGGGGAAAGGGAGAGCCCGAATGGGAGCACCCGGAATTGCCAATGGCGCCCCGATAGGCAAACCTGAGAAAACGGCGATGTTCTGCGGCAATAGGCACGTGAAAGTAGGCGCCTGTCAGATCTACTGATGTAAACCAATCTCCCGCCACAATGGTCTGAAGGACCTCTGTTATGGTGAGCATGTGGAAGGGAAGGACCTTCAGGTACCGATTCAGTCCCCTTAGATCTAAAATGGGGCGAAAACCGCCGGTCTTCTTGGCCACAAGGAAGTATGTGGAGTAGTAGCCTCTGGGTTGCCGCAGAGGATCTACAGACTCGATTGCCCCCTTGCCCAGGAGGGCGGAAAGCTCCTGGTCTAGTGCCTGAGATTTCACCGGGTCTGTGATGACAGTCATCTTGACCCGGTGTGAGAGGGGGGGCCGCCGTCGGAACTGGAGCCTGTAGCCATTGGTTAAGGTGGCAACCACCCATGGATCTACGGCATGAGCAGCCCAGAAATTCAGCTGCTGATGGGAAAAATGTCCGACGGCTGGCCCGGTGGCATCATCTTCTATCCCCACGGCCCCTGGGGGCTCTGGGGGGAGGGCGTCCAGGATTTGAGGCCCGGGTCTGTCTAACAGGGCGGCAGACTGGCTCACGAAAGTCCCTCCTCGGTCTCTGCCGCACATCATGGGGATAGGAACCAACAGGTCTGCCACCAGTCTGAGGTCGTGGCTGAACGCTGGGGGTAGTGGCAGGGCGGCCCGAACGCTGGGGAAAGGCAGGTATGCTCCTGCGAAGGCCGGAAAGCTGCTGGCTAGTCTGACGTGCCTGAGCAGTCCGTTCCAGCGCCTCCAAGGCAGCTGATCCAAACAGCTCCCCTGGTACAACCGGGACACCCCTGAGGGTCCTACGGCATGCTTCAGTCAGAGGAGATTGTGCCAACCGGACCTGTCTACGAGCTTGGACAAGGAAAGACATGACCCGTCCAAGCTCTCTGGTCATCAGCGCGAAGGCCTGCAGCGCTGCGTCACTATAACCAACCGCCGCACTTGCACCACCAGTGTCCTGAACAGATGCAGACAGGGCAAACATGAGGTGCGCCAGAGAATTGCCAAGGCGGCCAGCACGCGCTCCTGCATTGTACGCCTTACAGAGGAGGTCATCTGTAACCCGACATTGAGTCCGCGGGCACCGGACATCAGGACGCAGGGCTTCATCTGGTGACACAATCAGTGAAGCAACAGCTGGTTCAATTGCTGGCATACAGTCCAGGCCGGCCTTCACCGACTCATGCATGGCAGCTAATACACGACCATCCGATGAGACACGCGACAGCGCTCTTGGTTCCCGCCAACAGGCGTGTAACTCCTTCAAGTACTCCTCTGATGGAGGTACAGAAAAAGGAGTAGGAGCCCTCCCACGTCTGAAAAAGGCACTGCCGGAGCTGGATGCCTCTCCTTGTGGGAGTTCCAGCTGCAGCTGCTTCAGGGCCATAAACATGACCTCCCGCATGGAACTGTCACCGGCCTCTCCAATCGCCCTCTGAGATGAAAATGAACCAGCCTCAGAGGCTTGAGAGGACCCTGCCTCCTCCTCATCTCTAAAATGAGAAGCGGAAGCAGCCAGAGAGATAACGTCATCCTCTACAACCAGCTCGGGCATTGGTGGGGAAGAGAGCCCAACCACTGGGAGCGAAGGATCAGATTGCTGTGTCTGCAACAAGGACTTCATCTCTGCCTGCTCTGCTGACAACTGCTCCACCCTTGTGGACAGGCCCTGGTCAGGTTTGGCCCGCTTCCTCCGGGGGAGGGGCACAGATGCTGTGGTCCCACCACGGCGCTTAGAACGCTTGGGGGGAACCACCTGCCCAGAGGGCGGAAGGTCCGAGCCCTCCTGGGGGCACAACTGGGCCAACCGGGCCACCCTCACTGCATGGGGCATAAAGCTGCAGTTCATACAGGGGTTCTCAGACAGCGCCTCCAAAAGGTGCTCATGTCCAAGGCAGGTAGGGCACAGGTCGTGGCCATCCTCTGCCTGCAGGGCAGCCCCACAATCCATGCAGCTGTGAGAGCCATCCATGTCGAAGGCCGACAAGGCTTAAAGAACAGAAAGTTATCGAAAATCGGGAGAGGGGGCGCAAACGCAGCCGTCACCAATTACAGCAGAGAAACGAAAGGCTGCGAGCACAAGGCAGACGATACTTGGAGAGGGGGCGAGAACCGCTACCGTCACCAGGTATAAAACCAATAAACCAAAAAAGCTAACAACGTTAGCTGTATGGAAACTTAAGTTGGGAGTAGGAGCGAACAACGCTGCCGTCACCAATTAAGAGAGCAGACCAACGAAAAGGCTGCAAAAAAGGTTGATTTTGGGAGAGGGGGCGAAAACGCTGCCGTCACCATTCATAACTAAGCAGACCGATGAAGAAGGCTGCAAACAAACCAAAAAAGGCTAACAACGTTAGCCGTCTCCAACTTCGGCAAACGAAGTAGACCACACTTGGTTGGGAGAGGGGGCGAAAACCGCGGCCGTCAGTAATTATAGCAGCGCAGACCGGTGAAAAAAAGGATGCAAAAGTAGGGAATATACTGGGAGAGGGGGCGAAAACCACTGCCGTCACCAGGTATAACACCAACAAACTAAAGAAGCTAACTACGTTAGCCGTATATAACTTTGGCAGTGAAGTTATTCACACTGGGAGTAGGGGCGAAAACGCTGCCGTCACCAGTTCGAAACAAAACAGCACGAAGCTGTAGGTAAAAAGCTAAAGTCGTGAGCCGGGAGAGGGGGCGCGGACGCTACCATCACCAGCAAACAACTCACTTACCTTCCGTAATCCTCAGAATCGACCCGTTGCAGCCCTGGGAGGGCGGAGAATAACAGCAACTCCGGTCAAGATACAGGGGCTTCAGACAACGGGGAAGTTAGCGAACCGCTTGCGAGAAGAAAAAAGGAGCAGAGCAAAGGATGACACCAGGCTATATAGCTTCTGAGTGGTCATCCGGTGTCACAGGTGTGACTCTGTTGGTATAATTACTCGAACTGCGCATGCCCGAAGGGAACATTCAGTGCTTTCAGCACCGCCCTCTGGCGGTCAGTAGGGATGAAATAGAACTCCCTTTTAACAGGAAGAAACCTCCAGCAGAACCAGGCTCAGTGGGAGCGGCCATCTGCTGAGGCCAACTGGGGCTCGATAAAATAGTTTTGTACGTTCCACTTTTGGACATTCATCAGTACTTTGTTTTGGCTGGGGGTGGGGGCGGGGGAGGGGGGGGGGGGTAATTGTTAAATCAACAGAAGATAATTTATCTATAAGAACTTTGAAGTTCCACTAAATGTTAGAATAGAAATCCCTTTATTGTCCCACAATGGGGGAATTCTAGTGTTGAATTAATACATTCAGTTAAAGAAGTTCATAGCATTTCATTCCCTTTCTGATTAAAGAAAAACTATAAAATAAAACCACCGATGAGAAATAAATACGACCTGCTCCTGTTTCCACAAGGCCTGACGGGGACCCAGGTCCATCAGCTGTACTGATGGGAGTTCTGGCCATTAGGATGAAGAGTCATCTTATTGTTAACAGTCAGACCGCTTGTTTGTCTGCTGTAGGTCTACAGTCTCGTCTTCGGAGCTTCGCTCAAAGACAGCGGAGGGAGCAACAGCAGGAGTCATGGACCAAAGGGCATCAGTCAGAGCAAAGTTCTGCAGGTTAAGGTGAGCTCACATGTACACCTAGATGAATACTGCTGCTCCCAAGTGATGGAGGAAGGAGTAGGCCCAGCAGCCACTTCACTCAGAATTAAATTCAATACAGTTTATTTCTAGACCACCTCAGGTCGCTCTGCCGTTCACCAGATCAACCAGTTTTTTATCTAAGGAAAACCAGTTGATTGCATCGACTCATTGACTCCAATGCAATCCCTCACACTAAGCATGCTTGTAGCGACAGTGGAGAGGAAAAACTCCCTTTTAACAGGAAGAAACCTCCAGCAGAACCAGGTTAAGTGTGAGCGGCCATCTGCTGAGGCCGACTGGGGTCATAATGGTCTTCCTGCTACATTCGGATCTTTATTTCTGCTCTTAATGGATAAACTAGAGCGGAAGCTGATTTCTTTAGCGGTCCTCTTTAATAATGTGACAGCAAAACAAACCAAACCTGATCTCACCGGGTCAAGCTGAAAAAAAAAAAAAAACTGTCCATCAATTTCACATTAATTATGTTAAAATGCAGAGAAGATCCAGCCTTGAAGAACTTGAAGCCTGTTTCTGCTCCAACCTTTAGGAGAAGCTGCTGGGAGGAGTTCAGAGTCTGGATGGAGGCCTGATACACAAAGCTCTACATGATCCAACTAAAGCCGCCCACAGAAAGGTTCTGGTCCAGATGATGTCCTGGGCGCTAGGCCTGACTGCCGCCTCAGACAGCCAGAGGGAGCATCTTCAGGGGGTTCAGGAGCTGGAGGTAGACCTTCTCTTCCTCTTTTACGGCTTAAACCAGACGCCCATAAATTGATCTTCCAGCTGGTTTTCCCGACTGACCTGAAGTCAGACCAAACCTTTAGCAAAACAATTTTTGTTTGCTGAAGTCCAGAACACCTGGACTGATGATTTTTTTTTTATTTCAATCATGCTTTATGCCATTACAATGAATTGTAATGCAATGAATACAATATAATTCTATAATTAAGTAAAATAAATAAAAAGTAGCAGGAAGACAATAAACGTGGGCTCTATCTCAGTCGGACAGTGATAGGAGTAACGGCGTTAAAAGTAACGACGTTACTAACGCCGCTACCTTTTTTAGTAACAAGTAATCAAAATTATTACTCTTACTGTAACTATAACGCAGTTACAATTGCCGAAACCCCGTTACTGCATGTTACTCAGGTCGTACAATTAATCTTTTTTCATGATAGGACTCGTGCGTGCGTCATGAGAGAGGGGAGGATGGAGAGTGAGGAGGATGGAAATACCGGTGTTACGTCGAGCTGCATTTCCCCATCAGATACGGTTTACCCTGCATCTCCGCACGGCGCGGCGGCACGATTCACCGTGCAAGCGACAGGAAACGTGCATGCTCGCTAAAGGCGCGTAACAGCCGCCCTGTGCTCGCGCCACAGGGTAACTATGAAGAGCGTGAACGATCATTAGCCTATATGGAGAAAGAGAGAAATATGGATGATAGTTGGACGGATGGAATAGATAGATAGATAGATAGATAGATAGATAGATAGATAGATAGATAGATAGATAGATAGATAGATAGATAGATAGATAGATAGATAGATAGATAGATAGATAGATAGATAGATAGATAGATAGATAGATAGATAGATAGATAGATAGATAGATAGATAGAGCTACATGTTGCAGTATTTATAACAACCCAAACACAGGATTTCAGAATTAGACATCCCCAGTTATTAATTTCATACACTTGCAAAAGTAACGCAATAGTTACTTTTACTACTAACTAGTTACTTTTATTGTGGAGTAACTCAGTTACCAACTCAGTTACTTTTTGGGAAAAGTAACTATAACTAATTACTTTTTCAAAGTAACATGCCCAACACTGGTCGGACCTATGCAGCCCCCTTGTGTAAAATCGTGTTGGGTGTGAGATATTCCCATTGACTGTCAATGAGCGCTACACGGCACAACCTCATCCGACACAACTTTCTGTCAGATTGGATGCAAAATTGCATTCGTCGGTTGCGTACGACTTTATAATCACAGATCTGATTTTTTTTCTATGTCACACTGCCAAGATTTTCTTCACTTCTGTCTCTGTGCTATACACAAATAAAAAATAAAAAAATCCCACATTTTACATGGACATATTATGTAAAGTTATTAAAAACAAAAATAAAGCAAAGCTCCAGTTAGCTAGCTCCCTAACTGAGACAGAAAGTAGAAAGAAAATCTGAGCTTAGCAGGTTTTGATGGATCTTTTATCTCCAGACGTCTGACTGACTGACTGTCTTCTAAAACATCCTGACTCTGTTTCTACGCATTCTTACAGCTGATTGAGTGACATGTTTCTTAAATGTTAAAAAGTAATTTTTTTCACATTATAGGTTATTAGAACTTCCAGATTGAATAACTCAGTAATCCAACCAACAGGGAGTTCTCCTGACTGGATCCATGCTGGAGTTCCTCACCTGTGGGGAAGGGGGTGCCACTGAGCTCAGGAAGATTCTGTTGGTGCCTGAGACGCAGCAGGCTGCACTGCAGTCGTACCGCAGTGTGATGTGCAGCGGGGAGGAGGGTCAAAGGTCAGAGCGCTTCAGGCAGCTGAGCCAGGAGCTCAGAGAACAGATCGACACACAGAGTGTCGCTGACAAGGTACTTCCTGTCTGTGTGTGATGGTGTCTGAATGGCCTGACCCAGGGGTGGATTTGGGAAATGTGGGGCCCTCTGAATTGAGAAGCCAACACATAAAACAGACCCATTCTACAGATAGAGAAATGTTAATAGAATAGACATCCATTATCTGTTCTAGGTTGTGTCCCTCTCTTCTTGTCCCTTTTCTTCTTGTTTTCCTCTCTATTTTGTACTCAGCTGACTTTTCATGCTGTCTCTAAAGGAATGAAAGCTTTTTTCCAAGCACTAAGCTCACTTAGTTGATTGCTCCTTCCTGTGTTTCCAAAAAGGCCAAAGTAAATAACCCAGTCCTTCTTTTCACTGTAGACAAGCCATGATCTGCTTATCTGTTCTCCATTTTTCATTTGGATGAAATAATAGCTGCATGAATCATGACAGCAGACAAGATAGAGGAGAGCAGGAGGCGGGGTTACCAATCTACTTGCTCTGAAGAGCAGAGTTCGCTGCTTTTAGATGTTGTCGCCAAAGTCTGCAGTAGCAGAAAAAAGTCGCTATGATTTGGCGCTAGGAGCTTTTATGAAATCAAATTGCTCTGAAAAGTCACTAAATATGGCGACAAAAGCGCTAAGTTGGCAACACTGCTCTTTGCATTGTTTGTTAATATTCTAAGCGTTCTGATGGCATTTTAGCCAAAGGATTTTGATGAAAAACATAATTAATTTGAATAATTGCGGAATAGTTGTATTAACCATGAGTTTTATGGGGCCCAGGAACTTGGGGCCCTTGGCAACTGCCTAGTATTGCCAAATGGTAAATCCCCCCCTGCCCTGACCTTATAGGCCAGTCAAAGGCCATATAATGAATGTGTGTTTGCTCTAAAACTCTGAGATTTATCTTCTAAGAGGAACATTTTGAAAAAGGTGGTTTTATTGTAGAGAATCAGGCAAAGTTTAAGCCACCCAAAAGTCACTGTAAAATGTCAGCGTAACGTAACTCGGTGGAGAGTATATAATGGGACCTTTGATTGCTGGGAGGACAGGTCAACATAAAAAAAAAGGCAATAAAATGTGTAACAGAGGAATAATTAATTTTTGCATCACAATAAACCTTTTGTGGGAAAAGTAGGAGATATTTTTTCCTCTATGCAATAATCTTATCATTGAAGCCTTTTTTTAAAGTTATTTTAGATGAATAATCATTGAACCTGGTCTGTTTTCAGCTTCATCTGGAGCAGCCCGGCTACCTGCCCCCCCCTCTCCCAGTCCCACCTGGGCGCTCTGTTGAGGGATTTGGCTGATGTAGAGAGGCTCCTAAAGGATGTGGACCTGCTCTCTGGGCTGGCCCGCCTGCTGCTCAAAGGAGCCTGCGCCGGTCAAAACCCGCTGTCCCCAGCCAACGGGACATGGCCCCTCAACACGACTGCATGGAGCTCCAACACCACCGACGCTCCCAGGGAGGATGGAGAGGAGACAGGGGAGGGAGGCGGAAAGGCCAAGGCGGAGGAAGAAAACCCTCACTCTCAGTTTTCGGCTTTCGTCCAGCTGTGGGCGGGGCTACAGCCCATCCTGTGTGGGAACAACAGGTAGGTGGAGCATGAAGATGGATCAGAACATCGACTGCAGGCGGAGCAGGAAATAGGGAGCACTGAAAGGTTCAGTTAAAATCCGTCTGAGAAAAGAAAGTCATTTAGAAAATTAATCACCAGGACATTTATGTTGACCCGAGACATTAATAATGTCGCCTCTATTAGCATTATGTTGAGTTATAGTAAAAGAGGCTCATAAATTCAACAGTTTTATATTTAACAAACAGCTGAGCAGTCTGTTTTCCAATCTGATCCTCGATTTCATGTGGGAAAATGATTATCTATTAAAACGACTTAGAACTCCTTTATTTATGGTCAGAGATTAGAAGAAGTCATCATTTGGAGGCATAAATTGACTGGAGGCTGAGATATATTCACCCTCTAGATCTAGATTAAACACACAATCACAAATAACGGACTGATTAAAATAATATAAGAAAAAAACTTGATCTTCTTAAATAGTAACAAGGTCTAAGGTAAATCCCATCATTCAGTCACACTACTAAGGATTTAATTTTTATTTTAATCCTATTTATACAGGTAATCTCAGTGAGATCCAAGATCTCATTTTTGATAAAACTAAATCAACAAAAATACAAAAGAATATAAACCCAGGTAATTAAATAAGTTAGCAAAAAACATCTTTGTAGAATCATTTAGGAGAAGGTTTCTGTTCAGGATTTCTTTCTTCTCCCCTCCAATTAACTGAAAGGAAGAACAAGGATTGAAGTTTTCTCTTCAAAATCTGTAAGAAAATCTCTCTGAATGGTGCGTCTGTCTTCCTGTCTCCATGGCCAGAGGAGTCTCCAGTTTCCAATGCCGCCATGGTTAACGGAGTTTCCATTGTCTCCAATGTTAGCATTGTTAGAGCGGTTCCCCAAGGTATTCCATGATTAGCAGGGGCAGATTTAGAAAATGTGGGGCCCTAGGCAAAGACAGACATGGGGCCCTCTGAACTGAGAAGACAACACATAAAACAGACCCATTCTACAGATACAGAAATGTTAATAAAATAGACATCCATTATCTCTACTAGGTTTTGTCCCTCTCTTCTTGTCCCTTTTCTTCTTGTTTTCCTCTCTATGTTTTGTACTCAGCTGACTTTTCATGCTGTCTCTAAAAGAATGAAAGATTTTTTTTCCAAGCACTAAGCTCACTTAGCTGATTGCTCCTTCCTGTGTTTCCAAAAAGGCCAAAGTAAATAACCCAGTCCTTCTTTTCACTGCAGACAAGCCATGATCTGCTTCTCTGTTCTCCATTTTTCATTTGGATGAAATAATAGCTGCATGAATCATGACAGCAGACAAGACAGAGGAGAGCAGGAGGCGGGGTTACCAATCTACTCGCTCTGGAGAGCAGAGTTCGCTGCTTTTAGATGTTATCAGCACAGCCTCCAGTAGCAGAAAAAAGTGGCTAGATTTGGCTCTAGGCGCTTTTTAGAAATCAAAGTGCTAGAGGGGTCTGAGAAGTGGCTAAATATAGCGACAAAAACGCTAAGTTGGCAACACTGCTCTTTGCATCGTTTGTTTTCAAATGGTTTGCTGCTGTCTGTTTGGACCTTTATGAACATGTGCAGTAAGTGGAATGATCCAATATGGTGGACACTGAAGGGGGGCTGAGACACACTTAATATTATAAGTGTTTTGATGGCATTTTAGCCAAATGATTTTTATGAAAGCATAATGAATGGGCTCAAAAAAGAAGCAGCAGACATTTACGTATGTGGAAGAAACCTGTTACTTTCAAAATTCAGACTGTAAATGTTGCTCCCTTTTGTTTCAGGATCATTGAGCCTGAAGCGCTGAAGCAGGGGAACATGAGCTCACTGGGATTCACCAGCAAGGAACAAAGGAATCTGGGCCTACTTGTTCATCTGATGACTGCAAATCCCAAGATCCTCTACTCCCCCATTGGCTCTCAGGTGGACAAAGTCATTCAGAAAGTAGGTAGCCTGCCTGGAAGATGACATGATAACATGGCAGCTTTCCTTTGACATGTTCCACCCATCAGACGACAGGAATGGGTCCATCCTCTGCATCTTGGTCTTTAAAACTCTTTGCAGGGTGTTATTCCTTTTTTTTCTCTGTCTAAGCAGACTTTGGTTTCAGGAAGGTGATAGAGAAGAAAAATCCTAAAATATTCATGCCTTTCTTCTCTTTTCAATTACAGGCAAATGAGACGTTTGCGTTTATTGGGAATGTGACACATTACACCCGTGTTTGGCTGAACATCTCAGCCCAGCTGAGGACCTTTCTGGAAGAGGGCCGACTGCAGAGCCATCTGTTGTGGCTCGAGCAGGTATACCGCTCTTCAATGATAGTTCTCTGTTACTATATTGCTAAAATGTTAAGATGTATGAATGCTTCCACCGTGCTGTGGAACAGGAACTTGCACACTGGGTTTTCCTTTTATACTAGTGTTTGTTAACATTTAGTTTAAATAAAAAATGTGATTGTGCCAATCATCTGTAGTGAGTCCTACTGAGTCTGATTCTCTTAGAGTCTTAGAGTCTGATTCTCTTAGACGGCTGATTGACTTTAGGTTGTTAGCCATTAGGAAACGTCCAACTATTTCATCCATTGGCGTGTGGTGAGGTTCATGGCTGCCAGATAAACAACTATTTGAAACCTCCCCTTTTTTTTACCTTTTTACTTCAACATTTTGTGGTTTTTAAAGCTTTTTGTTATGTAGTAACCAACTTAGTAGCAGTCAACATAGCAAGAGACAAATATATAGTCAGATTCTGTTCTTTTTTTTGTTGTTGTTGTTGTTGGGTTAGTCTGGGCAGCTCCAAACTTTTGGGTCCCAACAGAGTTTTGATTAATCTTCTGTTTTATCAGATAAAATTTAAAAAGAACATTTCTTATCCTCATGCCCGCCCTCCACCTGTTTGCTGTCTGGACTCAGCACCGCCCTCTATCAGTGAGGGATGGAACTGTTTACCTTTCTCTGTCCATTATCACTCTGCATTAATGGATGATTACGAAGATAAAATATTTCACACACATTCAATAAATATAAACGACAGACTATTCAACATCAGGTTTAGTTCATATGTAATGCAACATTTATATCAGTAATATGAATTAACACAGGAATAGTTGTTCTCTGAAAGGCTGCAACAGTTAAAGGCCAGAACACACCGAATCCGATTTTGTTTCCAATCCATGTCTGACGAGGTCGTGGTGTTTAGCGCTCATTCAAAGTCAATGGGGACGGTCAAACCCAACACCATTTTACACAAGCGTAGCTCCGACTGAGATAAACAGAGATCAACAGGAACCTGAAAAGGTACAGAGGAAAAGTTTAGATGAAGACTGGATCAAAGATGCTCTATATTCAGTTTGACTGAGTTTGAACACGTTTGAGAAGAAGATAAAAGGTGAGTTTTAGAAGGGCGATGCTGGTGGAGATGTACCTGCAGAACAGATGGAGGGTTTACAACATATGGGCTTAGGGGGACTGAACATAAAACTTTCCACTTTTAAAACCATTTTTGCTCCCTTGCATTTTACCTAAAAGGGCTTAAGGGATGTGAATCCATCGCTCCACTCCGCTCCGCTCATTTTGTCCCTCCCGTCTCTGTCCAGCTGTCATCGGAGCTCCAGCAGCAGCCGAACCTGTTGAACGGCACAGACAGCGAGCTGATTCAGACTCTGATGATGGGAAACTACTCTCTGCCAAACACATCTGCCCTGCTGGAGCAGCTGGATACCATCGACAACGCTGCCTGTGGCTGGACACGCTTCATGTCAAAGGTCAGCCCAGCCTGGATCTAAATTGAATCAGCAGAGTTAATCAATTTAGTTATAAAACTATCTGAATCAGACTTGGCTTAGTTAGATCCACTAAAAACAGTAACTCCATCTGACCCAGAAGATCTTCAGACACAATACTTATTCTCCACCTGGATGACTTCTCTAGGTCAGATAGCCTGTTAATACAGGAAGTGGTCATAAAGCCTGTCGGCCATTACAACAGCTGGTTGCCATTGAGACTGAATGAGGCAGAAGACTTTGGACATCTCTCAATATGTGTACTTGTACATTCTCATGTGCTTGTGCGCTCGTGAAACGTCATCAAGCTCAGCCTAGTAGTGTTCCAATTCACAAGACGTCAAGACCGAGAACGGCAAAGGTCCCCGGATGTCGTTCTCACCCCGCCCTCTTTACCCAGCATGCAGCAGAGCAGACTTATCCTTTCTTGAGATTGACAGCTGTCCCAGCATGCACTGCGGCAGCAGCAGCTTTCAATGGCGCGCTCACAGAGCTCAGAGTATTAAGTTAAAAGGTCTCTTTTCTGTTGTTCTATAAAAGTTCGTTTTAAGATCATTTGAGGTGAGAACATTCACTATATGGCCCATTTACTGATTTAATGTGTAATAAAAAAACAATTCAGAAGTTGAAAGGACTGCTGCAACCTAACGGCAGTCACGTCTAATCCTAGCCCGTCTGCAGCAGCCCTCTCTTTGCCTAGCCGTGTGTGAAGGACCGCTGGCCTTGATGGAGAGTTTTTTGTTTTATTTGGCAAAACGTTCATTTGATTTGTGTTTATCTCACTTTATTAATTATTATTCCCCCACTAAATGAAAAGAATTAAGAATCAATTATTAACTACAGACTATTAATAAAAGGCGGTGAAATGCAGCTCCAGGCTAGCCGAGCGTGTGGTGACGTCACAAGAACGCTTGTTCCATTTGACCCATATTTATGCTGCATGCTCCCATTCTCCACGAGTCCATACATTCCTCTGTTTTACTCAAGAACATACTTGGCGAGGACAGGAGTCTGTACTCGCGTTCTTGTAAATTAAGAAACGGCCATAAGCCCCATTTACAGTTGGAGCACGGTAACCAAGGTAACTGTTGAGGGTAAATGGCACGCACAACTGTACCGAACCGTGCCAGACACAACCAAAACGCACTAAACTGGTTAGTAGGGCTCAACGTGGTTCAGTTCTGGCTCGGTTCTCAGATAACAAAGACCGCATGAGCAGACCACGTCATCTCCTTACAATCAGCCTCCCTAATCAGGAAACTTTAGACATTTATTTAAAAATAGCTTCCCTACCGTGCCACACAATTTCCAGTGATGATTCTGCTTAGCAGTCTGATGAACCACAATTACTGTCGATGTTTCCTGCATCTGTAAGCCTTGATTAGACTATCCTCTAGGGCTGGGTAAAAAAATCGATTTAATCTATTTTTAATCGATTCCTTTACATTTTTGCAATATCGATGTCTAGGGAATTAGATTGATTAGTTTTATAGTGACACGTGTCTTGTGACGTTCACATTCAAATGAGCAGGAAAGTTGCACTCAAGATTACTTCAAGCCAGACAGCTGCAAATATAGCCAATAGGTTGACTGAAGACATTAACAAATGGGGGCTGCATTTGCATGAGCTGCATGTCTGCTGTGTCCCTGCTGTGTCATGTTTTTGCTTGCTGGAGTTCACTTTTTCACAAACAAGTTTGCACTTATGAGACAGTTTTGTTCACATCTCAAGTTTAAACTGTCTGTATTTTGAAACACAGTTGAACCACTTTCATTATTGTTAAAAAAAGATCGAATCGAAATTAATCGATTTAGAACTGTATTAATCAAAATCAAATCGATTCAGGACTTGAGAAAATTCCCAGCCCTAATCGTTTTTCGTATCCACTTCCCAAAAGCCGACTTTGTCAAGTAAATTCACCAAAGCCTGCCTTCTTTGCCTGACTCTCCGCGAACAACGAGATATCACAAATATAACCAAACTTCCTGAATGGAGGAGGCGAGGAACCGTGCTAGCGTGGGGTGTAAACGGTCGTAAGGAACCGAGCTTGGCACAGTTAAATGATCGAAGCTCGGCACTGATGTGTTTTCAGAGGGGAACGTAAATGGGCCTTAGGACAGTTCCTAACTGGTTGACTGTAAGGAGATGAGGCGGTCTGCTCATGCGCTCTTTTTTTATCTGAGAACCGAGCCAGAACTTTACTGTGCCAAACTCTACTGCTGAACTAGTACCAGTTTAGCGCAGTTCTGTTGCATGTCATTTACATTCAACAGTTATCTTGGTTACTGTGCTCAGACTGATCTCGGCAGGTTTTCAAAAGGTTGTGTGAATGGCGCTCTAGGTACGGCACTGGACTGGTATCAGTTACCAGAATCAGGATCAGTCGCCATAAAAATCCATTTTGTAATCCTGTTTGCAGGTCAGCGTTGACGTCTTCAAAGGCTTCCCTGATGAGGACAGCATCGTCAACTACACCCTGAGTCAAGCCTACCAGGATAATGTGTCGGTGTTTGCCAGTAAGTCGCCCCTTCAGTGCATCACAAGCGTATTATATGAAGTGGAAGAAGAGCGATCCTCTGGTTTTAACTAATGTTCAAATCAGAATAGCTGTGAGTTTGTATTGGATCCCTGAGAATCTGTGCAGATGATAACATGAAGTAACAGCATGGAGAGGTCAAATGTAGGCGACAGATTGGAGTTTACAAGGGTTAGGTTTAAAACTATAGGTGTAAGAATGTCTGTGACGAAATATATTTTTTAATAAGTATTTTTTGTCTAAAAACTGTAGCAACATCTAAACTTATAACAGTTCTCATTTTCATTTTGTCAGTGTTACAAAAACAATGCACTATTATATCAAACTCAGGTTGATAAATTCAATGTTCTTCACATTTTCCCGTCCTCAGGTGTGATTTTCCAGACTAACAGGGACGGTTCTTTGCCACCTCATGTTCAGTACAAAATAAGGCAGAACTCCAGCTTCACAGAGAAGACGAATGAAATAAGAAGGGCGTACTGGCGACCCGGACCCAACACAGGGGGGAAATTCTACTTCCTTTACGGCTTCGTCTGGATTCAAGGTAACTTCTGCATTCGACTTTCCCTTCAGGTGTGAAGATGCCTTCTATATGTTCTATATAGAACTTCTATATGCTTCACATCTAACACTGAGTCCATGCCGAACTTCTTCAACAAGTTGTCTGCAACTACAAGGTAGTGCATGGGGGCCGTGAAAGTTTTGGTTGATTAGACTTTTTTTCTATTCCCCCCCTGCAATTTTTTTTCCACTAATTGAAATGTCTTTAAATCCACATTAACATGAATTAAACACACTGTAGTAAACAGATAAATGGAGGCAGAAGATGTCTTTCTGTCATCAATGCACACATTAAGCGATACACAGGAGCTCTTTTAAGCTGGGCACCATTTCATTCACAAAACCTGTCCTATCAACCAGGAATCAGAATCCCAGGGAGAAATTACTTCCATTACATTACTCCATCTGTAATAGAGTGACTAAAGGATCAGTTTGATAGAACACTATTTCATACAATATATATAATTAGGGGGTCCCTGCTCCATCTAGCCATCACTTTGGGGGTCCTTGGCCTGGTCAAAGTTAAGACCCCTGCCTTAAAGTATTGGTGCTGAAAAGCCAAATCACTAACACTCCAACCTGACCTCGCACACACTGTTAACGAAAGCATCAAAAGCCGTGTTTCCATCCAACTGAAAAGCTAATTTTAAGCACTAAGCGTAATGGGGAGTGTTGGATTCAGTAAATGTAGATTTGCAAATAAATCGAAATTGAGTCTGCACAGGAATGAGATTCAAGCAGCTTCTGCAGGAGCGGAAGGAAAAGCCCAACCCAACTTCAAGCTTTTCTTCTCCGAATCCCCTCCTGCAGCTGTCTTTTATTAACAGAACATAACACATGGTTACAAAACAGTATCTGGTCTGACAGAACAATTGATCAGTTCATAAAGACAAGACGCTCCATCAGAATGACAAGTCAGGATGGTCTCCTGACTGCATCACAAGACACAGTGCAGCATCCCCCTTGCACAAATGATTCATAAGCACACATTAATTTTACTATCATCATTGAATAAACCTGACAGGGAGTAGCAGCCTAGTGGTTAGGGCATAGAGCTTGGAACGCTGAGGTTCTGAGTCTGAGCCCCACTCCCACAGACTGCCACCCTGGGTCTCTGAGCAAGACCCTTAACCCCACACTGCTCCCCAAGATGATTTTATAAATACCAACAGGTCATAAACAAAATGAGCTAAAACAAAAAAAACTAATGAGTTTGCTTTTAAAATGTAAGGAGCAGATAGAAGAGATATTTGCAAAAAGGAGTAGAAGTAAAAAGTTGTTTGAAAAATAATTTATTTCAGTAAAGTATAGATTGCAGAAATGTCTACTTAAGTAAAGTAACAAAGTATTCGTACTTTGTTTCTTGACACCTCTGCAGACGTCTACAGAAGATCCTTCCTGCCTAAAGCTATCAACACCTACAACGACCGGTTTAATAAAAAACTACCCTATAAGTTTCTGCCATATTTAATTTCTCTTTGGGATCAATAAAGTATTTTTGAATTTCCATTAAGCTTTTCTGATGTGATCATTAAAAATGTGCTTTAGAAAAAGCTGATGGAAACGCCCCTAATGTTAAAAACCCAAACATGGACTCTGACTCTTTCTCCTAATATGAATAACCTATTAGTTTTTCTACGGCTGTGAACAAACGACAGGCTGCTGATTTACAGCCGCAATCAACAGTAACCTCTGACAGCACACCCACTCAGCAAACTTTGCATTCTGGGAAATAACCTGCCACCGACATGTTGTAAACTACATGCTGTCACCTGTGAGATGGACAAACCTTTTTTTTTTGCCCTTTTATTTAAGCGTTGGACAAATGAAGCTTTATTACTGAGCTTAAAACCATGTAGAGCCTCCACTGAAAACTTTGATTGTATCAAAGCTCAGGTTACTCATTAATGAGTTGAGATAAAAAAATATATAAATATTGGTTTTAAGTTAACATGGTCATAAATGACCCAGTATTGATCCTTTACTTTATAAAAAGATTGATTGTGTTGCTGCTGCACCTACAGCTCCTCCATCTTTATCTGTCAGAGGCGGGGCCATAAATTACGACCCAGTTCTGCACATCTGTCCGGTGCAGCTGCCATTTTTTTTTTTTGGGGTTTGTTTTCCTAAAATCAGCATTTATATGAATAAAATGCTCAGCTTAGCTGGAATCTAATGAGGCAGTATTCATGCTTTTTTATTTACATTTCTAAAGATTTTAAATTCCACTCTGATAAATAGAACCCAGGGTATCCTCTGTATCTCACAGATTAACCTCACAGAGGAAACTGTCGACCTGACAGAGTGAGGGGATCAAACTGAGTCCCTGCAACCTCCTCAGAACACAAGGGCACTGCACTACTCACTAGGTCAACACTCCCCAGGACACTGGGTGAAAAATAACTGGTTTGTTTAGAGAAGATTGGATCTTGGTCTGCCTCTGAATGAAGCACCAGGATAGAGGAACGTTTCCATTTGCACTGATGAGACTGGAGAGAAACGCTTAGCTCTGATTCACATATCAGAGAACCAATTCATTCCAGCTGTGAGGCATGGTGGTGGAAGAATGATGGTCCGAGCTGTTTTTGGACACATTCTCGTTATATGTCAGGTCTAAGCACCTAAAACATCATACATACATACAGGGAAAGAAATAAGGCACAGAGACAATTAATTTAGTTTACTCGCGAGGAGAGTAGGAAGAGACTACGGAGTTTACAAATCTCCAACCCACTCTACAGCCTTCAGCTTTCTCCTCGCTATTGAAGAAAAGGGGATGTCCCTAATTACACAAGCTGAGGTTTAACTAAGGGGAAGGGAAACAAAAGGATCTTTCTTTAAATCAGCACATATGTTAAAACATAGCATCTGGTTGTTTTACAATTGAATTGTTCCAAGAACACATGTTTAGAAGAAACATGTGATGGAGGATGTTCAGGCCTCTTTCACAACCTGTCCGTTGCATGACCTTTATCTGGAACGATTTTAAGCAAGAGTTGATAAAAGATGAATCACACATTATACATCATAATAGTTCATTAGAACACAACCCATGAAACACAAAGAAAGTAAGAGTATAAATAAAATATTTCTAACACTATACCACAATATTCTCGAGTTGAATGTGAAGCCACCTGTCAAAGAGGCACGGCCATCTTTGCTGCTTCTGTTTTAGTAACACATGCCATGACTCAATCGATGTGTTTCAATCTGTTAGATTAAAGTTTGATTTATGCAAATACTACGTTTGATACATGCTGGTGAAGATTCTCAGTCATCCAAGTAATCCAAAAAAGTAAAAAAAAAAACATCCAGGAAGCTTTTTCAATTCAAAATGTCAGAATTAGCATTGAGTTCAATTTCAATTTTAAATTGAAAAAGCTTAAGTGATGGGAAGCGAAACGTCTTTGAACTTGGAAACAAAGTCCAGTTGACTGTTTTTTAACCTTTTTTGGAATAAGTTTGGTATAAACAATTCAACCAGCGTTTGTTTAAAAAAAAGAAAAGAAAAAAAACTTTAAATGAAAGCTTGCTTACGTCTTCGCTTTATGGCTGCTGAATTCTTGCTTTTTTCTCTCGCAAATTTAGTTTGTTTCTTTGCTTTTATCCTTAAGACATGATAGAGCGAGCCATAATCAACACATTTGTTGGCCATGATGTGGTGGAGCCTGGGAACTATGTCCAGATGTTCCCTTACCCATGTTATACCAGGGATGAGTAAGTATCATCACGTACTGAACATTTAAGCTGCCAAATGCAATAATCCTTAGATTCAGGTGTAAAAAATCAAGTGAACACATGTTGATGCAATTAAATGCGATTAAACTGATTTACTTTACATGATTCGTGTTTTGCTTGTTCCCTTTAGCTTCCTGTTTGTGATTGAACACATGATGCCTCTCTGCATGGTGATCTCCTGGGTTTACTCCGTCGCCATGATGATTCAACACATCGTAGCAGAGAAAGAACATCGACTCAAAGAGGTCAGACACTCCCTGTAGCTTTACATCAGACTGGTTAGGATTTACCCTCGCTGACCTCATGTTTTATTATCGTTTGGATTTATTATTTATTATGACCGTAACGTGTGCAGATTCAGATTTCTCTCCATGTCATATTGCCATCTGGACCCTTGTAGCATAGAGGGCGCCCAAAAATGTCCCCACGGGACCTGGTGGTTCTGCAGGAGAATAACTTTGGTTTCTCTACCTTTAACACATAGAGGTGTTGAGTTAGAATAAATACTTAAACTGGAAAAAAATCGAAATCGAAATTGTTTTCTTAAAATAAGTGAATTTTTGCTTGGATTAAGGAGGTAAAAGAGACATTTTGCCAATGGAACAAGAGAATTTACATTTAAAATAAGAAAACAGAATTGCATTGTTTATTTCAAGTGCATTTTATCTAATTATCTTATTTTAAGAGTAAAAATACTCATTCCTTTGGCAAACTACTCAAATTAAGGATTAATACACTTAACTTAATTCTAATAAGGCAGAAAAAACTATTTTGGTATTTGTCCTTCACCCTTTATAAGGAACTCAATGAAATATGATTGAAAATCAAAATTTCATGCCAAAAGTGCTATTAGAGAACAAAAACTACTACTAATATTACTTTTGTAACATTCAAAAGATGCAAAAATGAAGCTCAATGTAAAAAGAAGAAACAGCCGCTTGCCCTAATACATTAAGAAAAATAACAAAAGTGTCTCTATAAGAAATTTGTGAAAAAAAACTCACAGAGTCAAAGAAACCGTTTTTTTGTTGTTACATAACCTTAGAGCGGAGGTCTTCAACAAGGGGTCCGCGACCCCTAGGGGGTCCACGGAGGTACTGCATGGGGGTCCTCCCTGCAATTGTTTCCACTAATTGAAATGTCTTTAAATCCACATTAACATGAATTCAACACACTGTAGTAAACAGATAAATGGAGGCAGAAGATGTCTTTCAGTCATCAATGCACACATTCAGCGACACACAGGAGCTCTTTCTAGCTGGGCACCGTTTCATTCACAACACCTGTCCCATCAACCAGGAATCAGAATCAGAAATACTTTAATAATTTTCGTTAGATTACTCCATCTGTATTAGATTTACTATAGCACCAGTTTGATATAACACAATTTCACACAACATATATATAATTAGGGGTCACCGCTCCATCTCACCATCAGTTTGGGGGTCCTTGGCCTGGAAAACGTTGAAGACCCCTGATTTAGAGTATTAATGCTGATACATCACTCACATTTTTTTTTTTTTTTTACTTTTCTTTTTATTTACTTTTTAACTTTTCCACTAGTTTTTTCACTGTTTCATTTAACTTTTTACATTTTTTTTTCTTTACTTGTTAACTTTTTTTTCATCTTAATGTAAAGTAGGTAATAAATCATTCAAGTTCTCATCTAATTGGTCAAATGCAAAACTAACATGTAATGCCATGCAGCAGTATCTTTGCTGAATGGCTGGATATAGATCTTGTGTTTCTAGACCCCAATGAGGGACGTTTATAGGGCACGGTAACTTGCCCTATAAATGGTTAAGTATTAATTTTTTCTCGGGACTTTTTATTTTTATTCCCTACATTTTAACAAATAAATATTATTCAAATATCGGTTCTTTCCGCTCCTTTATTTCTCCAACCTTGCCTGTTGGTTCTAAACACATTGATAATTAAATGATGTAACAGCGGCAGCTAAATAGTAAAAGTCAAGAGCTAAGAGAATCAGTCACATTGGAGCCCAGTTAGTTTATAGACAAACAATGATGGAGAAAAGAACGAAAACTCTGCAGAGACGAATCAGATTCTGAAACGTAAGAGATTCCCCACCTGTTAGAATATATGAGGATATTCTGTTTCAATCTGTATAATTTTGCAACCTTGACATTGTAATTACTGCATCTTTAAAGGTAATCTGCTGATTATACAGGACTTCTGTTTAGTTGGTGCCTGCCATAAGCAATGCATGGGTATGAAATGCCCATTAGAGATATTAATATAGGAATTAAAACGTCCGGCTCGGTCTCGAGCAATTCTAAGCAATTAAAGTTACTTTGACAACAAAAATCTATGCATAAAAATGAATAGGCAGAGGGGAGAAAGAAGAAAAATCCACTTTTCTTGAGGCTTCGCTGTGTGGTCGTATCGCGACAGTGGCGTTGGATGTAGGAGTTTGCCCTGAAATCGAAGGGTTGACGGTTCAAGCCCCGACTCCGACTTTCATTGTCGTTGTGTCCTTGGGCAAGACACTTCACCTGCATTGTCTACTGATGGTGGTCAGAGGGCCCGGTGGCGCCAGTGTACGGCAGCCTCGCTTCTGTCAGTGAGCCCCAGGGCAGCTGTGGCTACAATGTAGCTTGCCACCATCAGTGTGTGAGTGTGTGCGTGAATGGGTGAATGAATGTAGTGTAAAGCGCTTTGGTCAAGTCTCCTAACTTGAATAAAGGCGCTATATAAGTACATGCCATTTAGCATTCACCTAAAAACACAGTTTAAATTTATTTTTGTAGATAAATTCTTCATCTTCCAAAAACTGTAAATCAGCCTTAAAGCACCACAAGGTTTGAGGGGAAAACAGATTTAGAATGGATGACATCACACAGCAGAGAGGAGAGGGAAGGTTTTCTGATGAGGCTGAAACATTTTTACATCGCCCTCATTCCAGCATATTTAACAGTTATAGCTTTAACCTTTAGGTACAATGTACAACTTGTACTTTTTTACATATGTGGAGGAGTTTAATTGGTACTTTGAATCTTTTTACACCAGTATCTGTACTTTTAATTAAAGAATATGATTATTTTTGACCCCTCTTCCTTGAAGAGATGAATTCTTCTGTTCCTCACATATCTCTGATTCAGAATGCACCTCATTAGTTACTAAACTGGGATTTAAATGTTAAAGATGATCAGCTCTGAACTGAAAGATCCTTTTATTAAATTTGCAGTAGCATAAAATGTCTTTGTTTTTACGCTCTCAATGTTTGAATGTGCTTTTGTTTGACAGTCTGACTTCATGCTATCACTGCTCTCCTGTATAATGAGTGTAGATACAGTAGATTCTGAAGTCTAACCAGCTTAATGTCGGCCTGTGGTCGGATCCCTCATATGCAGACTTCCATAAGAAAGAGACTCTTTAAAGTTCCAGTTTAGATGCGTCTGTTTCCTATCGAAACTCCCAAAGACAGAAGCTTTCTGTGTTTCCATTCCAACATGGAGAGACTGTACCAAAACCAATCATGAACACCTGGTTAAACTCCCGGGAAAAACGCTTCGGCTTCAGCCTCCAACGCCAACTCAGGAAGTTGTGTCAGAATTTCGCGCTCCTGGAACACACTGATTGCATGTGATCCCCAGGCTGTTCAAACGAGCCAACTGTGAATATAAAGACGATGGCAGGAAAATGAAAAAATAAAATAAAATAATGCTGGAAAAATAACTTAAAGAATGATAAAAGTAAGAATAACATCTGATCATCTTAATCGTCTCAGTCCGGCTTATTGAACATGGCTTAAACATTACTGTAAAAGACATCTAATAGGAAATGTATCATAGTTTTATTTAAAACACTTTATATGTAAGGTTATTAAAAGACAAAAGGAGAATTGAAACATTTTCCCACTCAGATGGTGATATTTTTGGAGAATGATCAAAAAAAGCTAAATGTTTTCAAACTGATTACAAGAAAAACTAATAACTACTACTACTAACTAACTAACTAACTACTACTAACTGACTCTTCTGGAACGCATGACTCAACACAGACAGACTACCTCCTCCGGACAAGCCTCTACCATCCACATAAACCTTAAGGACAAAGAACGTTTAAGGACCAGAATGTTCACATTTTAGATAAAGAAGACAGGTGGTTTGAAAGGGGTGTGAAGGAAGCCATTTATTTTAAAAGAGAAAAAACGGAGGCTCGTCCCCGCGGCTCCCAGGGGCGCCGACATTGCGGTGGCTGGGGGACTTGTTCGGGGCTGTCTCTCCTCCTCCCTTGGTGGGGGTCTGATTTCCTGGGCTGGCCCCTCCTTGGTGCCCTTGCTCTTGGGGTCCCTTTTCGGCTCTCCACAACCACTATTGAGCATTTTCTCTATGGATAAACTTTACATGCACAGGTTCACCCTCACAAACAATTACAGGTGCTTGGTTCCAGGTACTCAGAGATTCCCTTCCATACAGAAAGCCCACATTCATATCTTCAGGTAACACAGAGTACATGTCATGCCTTCCCAATACCAATTGCAACTAGGCCAACAGCTAGGCCAACAATGACCCTTAGCGACTGCCTTTTCAAAGAAATAACCAGTATCAGTAACGACCTCAACGACTCCCATTATTAAGGGGTGGAGCCGGTTTTCCAGCTTCAATGTGCATGTTTTCTAAGCCATTACAAGGCTCTATAAAAGCCTGGAACTCAACGCTAATCCAGACATTTTGAGTTAAACTTCCTGGATGGAAATCGAAACAGCTTCAAACTTGGAAACAAAGTCCAGTGGATTGTTTTTTTAACTTTAACTTTTTGGATTAATTAACTAAATTAATAATACAGGTTCTTTTGGATCTAAATGGACGTTTAGAAGAATCACTTTATAAAAAAAAAGCTGCATTTGTGTTTTTATCAACACTAAAACATTAGTTGGTTCTTTATCCTTTTTTCCAAAGTTATTAAGGGCCACAGTGGGGGGGTCCAACAGGCCCTTTGAGGCCCCGGATTAGCTGCTATCAGACTCCGGCCACTGAGAATGAATTAAAGTCTCTTGTTTTTGTGAGTTCTGCTTCATCTCTGCTGTGTTCCATAGTGGAGTGAGTTTGGTGGTTCAGGGCCTTGAGGTGTGTTTATGTGCTTATTTGAGTGTTGGATAAACTAGCTGACTGTGTAACCTTTGGACTCCTTCATCAGGTAATGAAAATGATGGGCCTGAACAATGCAGTCCACTGGGTGGCCTGGTTCATCACCGGCTTCGTCCAGCTCTCCATCTCCGTCACCGCTCTCACCGCCATCTTGAAGTACGGCAGGGTGCTGCTCCACAGTGACCCGCTCATCATCTGGCTCTTCCTGACCATCTACGCCGTGGCCACCATCATGTTTTGGTGAGATTTAACCAAACACTTTTTAGAGCCAGACTCAAAGTTTTTAACATTTCCCAAAAAAGCTTCTGAACTGTTTTTTTGAAAGCTTCTCTTAGTTCTGTTAAATTGGGACAGTTTCCATATTGACTCCCAGAATATTATTGTGTTATGCTTTAATGAAATTCCTGTGTGTCACATTTTGGATTGTCTTTATGATTCCTTAAAGAATCGATAGTGAATTGTTTCATTAAACATCGATCATGTTGCAGCTTCTGATCAACCTGTAGAATATATTTAATTAAATTCATTTCAGTTTATTTATATAGCATCTATTCACAACACATGTCATCTCTAGGCACTTTGAAATTCACCAGATCATCCAGTCAAATTGATTAAAAGCTTTCTATCTAAGGAAAACCTGTTGATTTCATCGACTCCTTGATTTGAAGGCAATCCCTCACACTAAGCATGCTTGTAGCGACAGTGGAGAGGAAAAACTCCCTTTTAACAGCAAGAAACCTCCAGCAGAACCAGGCTCAGTGTGAGCGGCCATCTGCTGAGGCCGACTGGGGTTCAAGGAGACCGAAGCAGACATAGAAAAAGAAGCATAGATACAAAAGGCAACTGTCAACCAGCTCCACAGGCAGCCCCGTCCAGGAAACAAACAGCCAGCTCCCAGAGTATGAAGAGAGCACATCCAGCCAGTCATAGTCAGAGAAACAGGACTACACTGAAAAACAGGCTGATCTCCAGCATCTATAAACAAAGGTGTTGATGGCAGCAGCTGATATTTCTCTCCAGGATGGAGTCACAGCCAAACAGGAACAGACTAGATGAAGCTACTATGAGAAAAAGCAGAGAGAGCAGAACGTTAGACATTGAACTAACATTATGCAGAGCGGGAGAATAGAGATAGAATCAAGCAGAAAAGTGAAAAAGGAGTCCCTATGTCCTCCAGAAGGGCTGGTTATCTCCCGCAGCAGTGTGTCGCAGTGAGCTTGACGCAGACATTTTGATTTATGCTAAATTTTGAGCATGGTCTGCGCTATACACTGTGGGTCTAGATACGGCCCAGACGGAGAGGAAGTGGGGGTGAATTTAATCCGACACGGAGAGACATGATGGCGAAAAAGAGCGGGGATCCAGGTGGAAAAAGGGTCCCAGCGTTCTCGTGCACCTCACTCTTCTAGCTGGCCCAACTTCACAAGTTGTTTTCTACAATTGCGGTCATAAAAACAAAACAAGTCGGCTTCCTGTCTGCGGTCAGCTACAATTTGGGAGAGGTGCAGCGGAGTGTCTGTGGAGGGGGCGAGGATGTCTATTTGTTCACTGCGACACCTACGCAGACGACCTATTTTCAAAGTATAAATCAGCCTTAAGCCTACAGCAGCAGAACTATAGAAATAGCTCAAGATAACCTGAGCCACTCTAACTATGTGACCTTCTACCTGACTGAGGCTGAGGAACCAGGTGAGGCGTAACAATCTGTCCAATCAGAGAAGGCCAATGGCTCTGTGACAACAGTTAGAGGATCATCAGTTAATGATGGAGTAATCTACTAAATTCAGATGCTGGGATATGGGGTCTGTTAATAATCCTTAAGGTAATATTGAGCCTGATCTTTCACCCTCCATGTGCTCCAGGCAGGAGGCTGACCCAGCGGGCCACAGGCCTTTGGCAGTAGATATCAATTAAGAATAAATAATGATTTTCTCTTTGTTCCCCAGTTTCCTGGTATCGGTGATCTACTCCAAAGCGAAGCTAGCTTCAGCCTGTGGAGGAATCATCTACTTCCTCAGCTATGTGCCCTACATGTATGTAGCAATCAGGGAGGAGGTGGCCCACGATAAGATCACTGCCTTTGAGAAGTGTATTGCTGTAAGACCTTTTCTAATTTTCCTCCTCCTTCATGCGTTGCTGTTGAACCGGATGTTTCCTAACCTGTTTTCTGTCTTGGCTTCAGTCCCTAATGTCCACAACAGCCTTTGGTCTGGGCTCTAAGTACTTTGCTCTGTATGAGGTGGCTGGTGTGGGCATCCAGTGGCGCACCATCAGCCAGTCTCCAGTAGAGGGCGACGACTTTAACCTGAGCCTTTCCATGATGATGCTTATCATTGATGCTGGGGTTTACGCAGTGTTAACCTGGTACATAGAAGCTGTTCATCCAGGTGAGAAATCCCTGCTTCCTGAATCCTGCCGGCTGTCCGCTCCGTTCACGGCGGTTAAACACGATTCCCTCCCCCTGCAGGAATGTATGGGCTGCCCCGCCCCTGGTACTTCCCCCTGCAGAGGTCCTACTGGTCAGGCAGTGGACGTGTTGAGACCTGGGATTGGCCCTGGTGTGGAGGGGGGGCTCCACGGCTAAGTGTGATGGAGGAGGATCAAGCGTGTGCCATGGACCAGCGGAGGTCTGGTACGTCTGTTTTGAACTCTCTTATGCAAACCTCTGAAAACTGAACTATTATCTTTTTTTTCTAACTTTCATCCAAAATAAATGTCAGAACGTCTTTTCACTTTACCTCCAGAGGAGATGCGGGGCATGGAGGAGGAGCCGACCCACCTGCCTCTGGTGGTCTGCATAGACAAACTCACCAAAGTGTACAAGACTGGCAGCAAACTGGCCCTCAACAAGCTGAGCCTCAACCTCTACGAAAACCAGGTGGTCTCCTTCCTGGGACACAACGGAGCTGGGAAGACAACAACCATGTAAGGAGGAGGAGTTCCAGCTGGGAAGCGTTGGTGTTGTGGTTCATTGCATCTGTTCAGGTTTCACCACGTCTCTGCGTTCGTCTTCACAGGTCCATCCTGACCGGCTTGTTTCCTCCAACCTCTGGCTCTGCCACCATTTATGGCCACGACATCCGGACTGAAATGGAGCGGATCCGTCAGAACCTGGGCATGTGTCCGCAGCACAATGTTCTGTTTGACAAGCTGAGCGTGGAGGAGCACCTGTGGTTCTACTCCAGGCTCAAGGGCATGGCGGAGGAGGACATACGCAAGGAGATGGACAAGTTAGTATGAAGCTGCTGAACCCACAGAAGGCTGAGTGAAGTGGATTCCCCAGCAACATCACAACAACCTGCAAATAACCTAAATGCTTAATGCAGATCTGCAATGTTAGAATTCATTTTTGTTTGTGCTCATTTGTTTGTGAGACATTGAAGATATTGTTTAGGTCACATCCCCTTATTAAGCTCAGATGCATCTGGAGATCTGGGAGGCTTCTTGCTGTCTGCTGACATTCAAATAATGGAGGTCTATGGTGCCCGAGACAGAAAGGTCCATAAAAGTCCACAAAAAAACGTGTCAATATTCCTCCATACTGCTCGTCCAATGTATTCCAAGTGTCCTGAGTGGGTAGCATCCAGAATTTACTCGAAACGAAGTCATTTAGAATGTTTTTAGAGCATAAACAGTAGTGTATAGGATTTCCTGAAAGCGAGTTCACGAGTCTACGGAAACCGCGGCAGACCAAACCAGATGAAAGTGCGCATTCAGCGTCTGCTCTGCCGATAATGCAAGCGTAGAAGAAGAAATGTGCTGTTTACCTGTGCAAAGAAAGAAACAACGAAAGAAAAATGTCTGAGGACTTCAGTGCTGAGGAAGAGCATGAGTTCTTTGCCGAGCTGAATGCGCACTTTCATCTGGTTTGGTCTGCCGCGGTTTCCGTAGAGTCATGAACGCGCCGGCGCGCGCTTTCAGGAAATCCTATACACTACTGTTTATGCTCTAAAAACATTCTAAATGACTTCGTTTTGAGTAAATTCTGGATGCTACCCACTCAGGACACTTGGAATACATTAGACGAGCAGTATGGAGGAATATTGACACGCTTTTTGTGGACTTTTATGGACCTTTCTGTCTCAGGCACAATAGACCTCCATTATTTGAATGTCAGCAGACAGCAAGAAGCCTCCCAGATCTCCAGATGCATTTAAGATATCAAAAAAGTACTCCAGAGTGTTGTTCAGCATGGGGGTGAGTAGAAAATGAAGGCTAATCATGTTTTGGGTGTACTATTCCTTTAAGGATCTGACCCAAAAATGCAGTAAACCACTCAGAGAGCAAGGCAAAAGTTTGAACAGGTTTATTGATAAAACCAGCGGGGGTTGGATTTAGGAAACTCAGTGTACTCAGAGGGCTGGTGAACCGGAACTGAAAGGGAGGAGGGAAGTACACAGAGGTGAGTTCAGGAACTGTGGGAATCTTGAATGCAGTGGGGAAAATGCTAGTGAGGGACTCACGTTTGGGGGAGTTCTTCTCTAACTAGCATCCAGTCTGTGTGGGTTGATCAGAGAAGAGGGAACATGTCAAAGAGTGGACAGGTAGACATTCTTTGGACCTGGAGGAGCACTGGAGCGGACTGTCACTTGGATTTCCGTGAGGGACTTGAACGGCACATGTGGAGGTTTCTCCCCTGCTTAGTGTGAACTCGATAAAGAATCCTTCCAGGGGAAGAAGGCCCAAACATCCAGTATGCAGGAGGACTTCCTGCCAAAGGCTAAGACAAAAAAATAAGTTTAAACTCAGAGAGACAAAGATACAGTTTGACTTAGTGGAACAAAGACTTAGGTTAGATTCTTCTAATCTAAGCATGGCTAGAGTACCCAAAACTGGCAAACACTCTGGCGTCGAGGTAGTGACAGTCCACTGCTTAAGTTCTCCTCCAGATAATGATCCAAAGAGCCGCAGGTGTGCAGGGAGGACCAACAAAGACAGGGCACCACCTGGTGGTGGAGGGAGAGACAGACACAAAACAGACCACACAAACTGGATTCCGGACAATTTATTTTGAGGAGTATAACATTTAATTATTTTGGGGGTAACTTAAATACATTTGTGATCAGTGGAAATTACCATCTAGTAATAATTTCTCAAAATGAGATTTGATAATTACCTTCAAACAATTATCTTCTTTTAAATGAACTAATGGATGTTTACCTACAAAACCAAGCAATTAATAGTGAAATTTAGCATGCATCATTCTGAGCAGAAAGACTTGATGATAAATAATTAATGATGTCATCAATTTCCTCCAGTGGTAGTGCTGACCAACACAAAACATGGATGTGATCAGTTTATGTAAAAAGATATAAATCAGAAATGAAAGCTGCTCAAAAGAAGCAGTTAGGATGTAGAGAACTTTGGTTCAAATCATGGTGGTGGTGGTAAGGGGGGGAACAAATAATGTTTAAGGCACTAAAGAAGCACTTATTCAATTCAATTCAGTTTATTTATATAACACCAATTCACAAGACGTCATCTCCAGGCACTTTACAAATACCCATAATTTAAGAAATGTTGACTTATTTTTAGGTCATTTTTGTAGTAAAAAGAAGATAAATATGAGTCCTGAAAATCCTCCAAGGAATGTCCAATGTTTCACCACCAAGTGGGTCTCAGAACCATATGGTCCGACCCAAACACGGTGCAGAACCCAGCTTAATGTGAAGGAAGCACAGTTCTGCTCTGACTCTAGCAGAGGGTTGGTGCAAAAAAAGTCAATCTAGATAGGTAATCTTTTCTTAAAATAAGTGCATTTTTTCTTGAATTGAGGAGGTGAGTGAAAAAAACCCAATTGCATTGTCGTATTTCAAGTCTAGTTATCTTATTTTAAGAGTAGAGAATCTCATTCCAGTGGCAGATCATCTTATTTACTTACTCAAATTAAGGTTAAATACACTTAATTAAAGAAATGTTAACGTATTTCTAGATTGTTTATGGAGAAAAACATTTATATGATTGTGTGTCCAGGATGATTGTGGACCTGGAGTTATCCAACAAGCGCCACAGCTTGGTCCAGACATTGTCAGGAGGGATGAAGAGGAAGCTGTCCGTGGCCATTGCCTTTGTCGGCGGCTCCAGGGCCGTGATCCTGGATGAGCCCACAGCAGGGGTGGATCCTTATGCCCGCAGGGCCATCTGGGACCTCATCCTGAAGTACAAACAGGGTGGGTGATGCAGCAGATCCAGACCAATTGTCTGACACAGTTCAATCGTACTAATTGTGTCATAACTGTGGTTTAGCTTCTGTTTGCCTGGAAAGTCTGCAGTTTTTTAGATGCAGGTATGTTGTCCTCTCACTGATGCAGGGAAAGTTCTGCTCAGGTTCTTGGCCAGGGCTGTCCACCATGGCTGGTGCCTGTTCACCAGCTCTACCCACCGGCATCCCACCGAGTAAAAATTGGTGGAAAAGGACATGATTTGTTTCTAAACAACGTCTACATTTGGTTGAAAAGTGAATGGGGGGAAAAAAGGCGTAATTTTCAGATAGTTGAAAAGATGTTGAAAATAGGATTTTTAACGTCTTCTCAACATCTATTATTGGACTAAATTGGGACAAAATCACAAAACACAGCCCAATTTTCAACCATGATTTATGGACTAAATTAACACTATGAGCAACTGACCAGATTTAGCCTAAAAACTAACGCTTAAATGCAGTCTGGTGTTTTGGAGGGATGGGGTAACCTGACTCCGCCAGATGGATTTGCTCCGCATATCCATCTGGAAACCTTCCGTTGAAGAAATTTTGGGAAGGGGCGAAAATACTGGTTAGCTGATTGGCCTATGTAGGTGATAGACGGGCCAAATGAACCAATCAGATCAACGAAGCATATGACGTACTAACAGAGCGACGACGAAAACACAACCACAAGCCAGGCTACTCTTGCCGAAACCAGTCGGGAGAAGAGCAAAAACATCTTTTCCTCTGAGAAAAGCCTCCAGAGCAGTGTTTTGCTCTTCTTTCAGTGAAGAAATACTCTGTAATTCCAATAAAACTTGCTCGATAGCCACGCTAACACTAGTTTCATCGGCTGAAGCCGCCATGTTCTTTAGACTGAACTGTTCTCGTTGCGTCACACCTCAACCCGCCTCAAAGCCAACGCTGATTGGACGTTCGTTTGGTGAACGGCTCCAAATTTTCTTTAACGGAGAGTGAAACCTTGAAACCTCGCGAGATCAGGATGGTCTCACGAGGCTATGGGGATGGGGATGGTTTTACCACTAACATGAAGCTAGTATCCGGCTCTGGAAGTGTCTCACTTCACTAACTTAAATTTCTTCTTCTTTTTTCTCTTCCAAGCATGTTCTGCTCAAACTGTCCAGTAAACTCGTAGAACAGAAATCCTTGCTGTGTATCCTCCCGTTCATCAGAGTGATGCTGTGGCGGTCTGTTTTTTTGTGCCTTTGCTCCAGGCCGGACCATCCTGCTCTCCACCCATCATATGGATGAAGCCGACCTTCTGGGAGATCGCATCGCCATCATCTCGCACGGCAAGCTGACGTGCTGTGGAACACCTCTGTTTCTGAAGAGCACCTATGGAGACGGGTACAAACTGACTCTGGTCAAGAAGCAAAGAGAAGGCAGAGGTGCACATTTACAGTTTCCCTCAATCTTTTATTTCTGTAGACTTTTGTTCCAAATAAACCGACCTCTTAAAATGCTTTAAAGAGTCCTCTGTGTTTGACCGTCCAGGCCAGGGCAGCCAGCCGAAGCCTCCCTCCTCCTCATCGTCCCCTTCCTCTGCGCTGTCGCCCTGCTCAGAAGCTCGGGTCACCCGGTTCATTCAGAAGTTTGTGGCATCCTGCTTGTTGGTGTCTGACTCAAACACGGAGCTCTCCTACATCCTGCCCTCCGAGTCCGTCAAGAAGGGCTGCTTTGAGAGGCTTTTCCAGGTATGAAAAACTGATTTCAGTGGGAGTTGCCATTCCATCAGCGTTTGACAGTTTCCTCAAAGGCCAGACTAAATGGGTTCAACCTCTAATTAGCCACTAAATGAGGACTGTTATTGTTGCACTAAAGGTTTCTTCATTCTTGATTGAACCAAATTCTTTTCTATGATTTAAACTAAGGGTGTGCAAAATAATCGTCATGACAATGCATCACAATTCTAATTTTTGTCATCTACTGCATCGATTCTTGAAGGCAAGAATCGATTATAAAAAAAAGAAAAAAAAGAACAAATAAAATACAATAATGGTTGGCGCACATCAGCCAATTCAAGTGGAATACAACTTCCAGTCCAGCAGATGTCGCTGCAGATGTGTTGACGCTCGCTGCTTTGTGTCACAAGCATGTCCGGCCGCGGGAAACTGAGACGAGTCATTCATAAACAAAATATGGAGGAGACTGAGAAAATTCGGCCCCCGGTTCCATCACATTTCAAATCAGATGCTTGGATGCATTCTGGCTTAAAAAACAAATAAGGTAAAAATGAAATTGATAAGATGCACGTAATTTGTAAAAGGACCACTGAGGCCATGTAAACGGCACTGATTATCCTTAATTTGTTATTTTAAGTTTTATGAATCCTAAGATCTTTTTGTCAGTGTGTCCACGCCAGTAATAGTAATATTTGTGTCCAGTATTTGTTTTCATGGCAAAACCTCCAAAAGTTGTTTCCATAAATACAGCTATGTATGAATTCAGTTGCTTTCAGTTATGTATCAATTGAAGACACGATCCAGATCATACCCAGCCAGTCAGCCACTGGTAAGGGCTGTATCTTTTTCTTACAGTGTTCAGTGAAAATATCGCAACGCATCGCGATGCATCGCAATATTTCAAGTATCGTGATGCATCGTGATAGAATCGCATCGTGGCATGTGAACCGTGACTCAAATCGAATCATGACTTCTTTGCCAATACCCACCCCTAATTTAAACAGGCAGCAAGAGGAGGAACATTAGATCAGAAGAATTTAGAGGGAAATGCCTCACCTGGTGACAACAGAGAACAGTGACGCAGATGCGTTTTTATTTCAGCAGTTTAACTCTGAATCCAGTTCATTTCAGTTTTCAGTTTCACAGTAGTAACCATTCAAAATTTCCTCACTTTCCTTGATGGGTCCTTGGCTGGTCCCCTACATTTCCTTTATAAACATCAATATTTGTACTAAAATATTCTGTCATGATTTGTGGAGATTAAGAAAGCGCCATCTCCTGGTCAGACCCTGTAACTCAATGAAAGAGGGGAGTCAGAGTACAAAAACGTGCAAGACGGGGTCACTCCAGTGCCTGGAAGTTGGAGGGGATTCTGCATGGAGTTGAAGGGAAGTGGGCTGCCATTTTGGTGGAGTTTGACTTGGAAGTGCCATGTTGAATGGCTGCTACTGTATATAGCGCCAATTCCCAACACTCGTCATGTCAACAGTGGTGGATGAAGTACTCAACAGTAGTACATTCGGTGAAAGTATTGATGCAAATAGTCAATCTTACTCAACTACAAGTAAAAGTTACTCGGTTAAACATCTACTCAAGTTAAAGTATTGAAGTACTCGATTTTGAAAATACTTAAGTATTTAAAGTGACATGCATTTAAAAGTACTTTAATATTCAAAAATACAAATAATATCTTTACATTTCTGCATCCTTTTAAAGAACCGGTAACTTTCAGAAACCTCCTGCTGTATTGATGGGTAAAACTTCCCGCTACAGATTCTACACCATCTGGAAAGAATTTCAGCATAAAAATGCCACAAAAAAGGGCTGTTTTTTTTATCGTTATTTCTTATTTAGAAACCTAAGAGAAAACAGGAAAGTCTTGATTCCCCTCACACTTTGATTATGGGATATATATGGAGGACTAAGGTCAGGCAGAATTAAATAGCGGCGAATAAATAACTAGTGTAAAATAATACAAAGGAAGAATAAAACAGACAAAAATATTATAATATGCAAATAAATAAATACTTATATATAAGTAAATAAAACAATAAAGCTGAAGATTATAAAGGACAAAAAAATAAATAAGGTAAATATTACAAAGGCAAGTAAATATAGAAGCTAATTAAAAGAGTTATATACATTTATGTATCACTGTATAATTTAATTTCTACTTACATTTATTTGTTTATTGTATTTTTGGTGGCAATTAATTGTAGGCTTATTTATTTACTGAGCATTTATTTATTTCTGTATTTATTTTTATATATAGCAGAGTCGGTCCTCCATAGATATGGGTTAAAGGTCGAATCTATTAGAAACTGGAACTCGAGAGGTTTTGAAAGCTCATCCTACTGAACAATTTGGCCACATGGCAACAACTAACACTTTAATAACATTTGTAAGCTACTAAAAATATCTGTCCTGAGTTTCTCACATTTGTTGAAGGTCATGCAAATCTCTAAAACCGTGGTGTCCAGATTTAGTGCTAATGGCTGCTATCTGCAACGTGGAAATTGCATTTCAAGAAAGAAAAAAAGCAACACTGGATTATGACGCTGAGCTGAGCCAAAATGATCAAGTAACTAACAGCTTCCTAGAAATGTAGGAAGTTTATAAGAACCCCCAAAAAAATTACTCAAGTAAAGACACTCAATAAAAGCACTTAATTAAATACAGTAATAAAGTATATGTACTTTGCTACTTTCCACCACTGCATCAATTCAAATAGATCAACCAGTCAGAGTGGCTCAAAGCTTTCTATCTAAGGAAAACCAGGTGATTGCATCGACTCATTGACTTAATAATCCCTCACACCAAGCATGCTTGTAGCGACAGTGGAGAGGAACACTTTCCCATGCAGAAGGAAAGCGATGCTGCCCATAAGAGTTCTGATAAAGTCGTGTAGATTATTTATCGCCAAAGCGTCGTAGGGAGAGCTGTAAATGAAAAAAACATCCTGGCTTTTGTTTGCAGGCTTTGGAGCAGAGCCTGGCCAGCCTGGCGCTCACCAGCTTTGGAGTGATGGACACCACATTAGAGGAGGTGTTTCTCAAAGTCTCTGAGGAGGACCAGTCTATGGATAACAGTGACGCTGGTGATGCCCTCCTCCCTTGCACGGTGATCACTGTTGTACTTTTCTTTTCCTGCTGACACCTAGTTGTGGTTTTTCATCTCTTTGCAGAGATGAAGAGCTCTCCTGGGGGCAGCTCTTTGGGGAAACTCTCCGCAGGATCAGAAGTCCAATCTGGACCACAGCCTGAGACCGAACCTTCGGTGCAGAATGAGAAGTCCGAGGTTGAACTGAGCAATCTGGTGCAAAGTTCCAGGCTCAGCCAGAGCCAGGCTTCCCTGAGGTCCTCCTCCTCGGTGGGCTCCGTGCGTGGAGATGAAGGAGGGCTGTATGCAGACTTCTATGGAGATTATTGCCCTCTGTTTGAAAATGGCCAGGAGTCAGACTCAGCCAGCCTGAGAGGTGAGACCAGGATCGGCATCACTGCGATAAGAGGCAGGGATGGAAGGGGAAAATAACTCTCATGGTTCACTAGCACAATAAAACTATTATCCTATCACGCAGCCACAAAAACTGTGATTTACTGAAAAGTTAAAGCTTTAAAGGAAGAAAATGCCGCCTACTTTAAAGATTACCCTAACACTAATGGAATTCCCCTATCGGATTAAGAGCATATTTTTGAATTGAATTTCTGTTCTATGGTTTTTCACGTTTGGTCTTTTTCATTTCATAGATACACATACAAGGATCTTTTTCTCTCTCATTTTATTTATCTAATTTTATTATTACAACAATGTGGTAATATTATAAAATAACACTTTTTTAGACAACTTTTGACATGTTTCTAACTATAATTTACATGCTAAGCATTTTTGCGGTGGTGCCACCCCATCTCTCCCACCCTTAGTACCACCTATGCACAACTGCAATTAATTTATTATTATTTAATAATGTATTTATTTGCCATTATTATGCTCCATAAAGTTTTTAAAAAGTAAGGTTTGTTGTCTGTATGGTCCATTCAATTTCCACCACACCATTTGTTTTTAAATAAATTGTTGCAAAATTCTAATCACTCATTAAAATCTTCTTCATAACTTAAGAGATAATGTTCTACTTTAATTAAAAACACAAGTATTTACACCTTGAAATGTATCTTGCGATTCCAATGCTCTATCTCAGGTTATGGCGAACATAAGATTCGCGTCTTGTCCTCATCACAATTAATTTACCTAATCCATAAATGTATGGGTTTTACAATAAAGGCATAAACGGCTAAAACTATATATGAAATCATAGTATTTTAGAATAAATTCTCTCCCCTGCAGGCGATGCAGAGAATCCCTCAGAACCAGAGGTTCTAGAAGGTCAGGGGAGCTTCAAGCTGGAGGGCTGGTGGCTGAAGCTCAGTCAGTTTCATGGCCTCATCATAAAGAGGTTCCACTGTGCCAAGAGGAACACGAAGGGCCTTTTCTCTCAGATCCTTCTACCTGCTTTCTTCGTCTGTGTTGCTATGACTGTGGCCCTATCGGTTCCAGAGATCGGTAAGTTCTGATAAATGCACCCGTGCTCTTTAGAACGCCTCAACATGTGATGGTGGTGGTGAAGGCTGGGCTTGTTGTGTTTCACAGGAGATCTGCCGCCGCTGATCTTATCTCCCTCTCAGTATCATAATTACACGCAGCCCAGAGGCAACTTCATTCCCTACGCCAATGAAGACAGACCCCAGTACAGGTAACAGCACCTGTATTCATTGTGATGCAGCTTAAAAGGTCAAATTCTGGCCATGACCCAAAGATGTAACAGGGTTATCCTTAAGGAGGGTACATATAGAACGCTGTAAATGCTGATGTGGATGTGGCTAATTTGAAGCTGAAGACCAGTGCTGCATTAAAGCACTCTTTGAGATTCATTAAACCTTTATCCTGTTTATAACAACACAGAAGATAAGTTTATAACACATTTTAGTAACAAGACCGAAGAGAGTAAATAGCAGGGGCTTGTTAGAAGTCATGCATGTTAGTTGGACTCTAAACTTTAAACCTTTAATGTTAATCTGAGGCCACACTAATCAAAAATTTAAACTTTAAAAGGTGAGATGCTTTAACTTTTGACAGCAGTTTAAATTAGTTTAGGGCTTCATGTTTATGCAGCTTTTGGGGGATTTTATTTCAGATTAGTTTAGCACAAGATCCAAATGCTGCTTCTTCCAGTTTGGTTCTGGGTGTACAGAGTAGATCTGATCTGGAAGAGAAGGTCTGGCTGTTGATTCACTGACAACAATACTCCTTTTCTTACCGGCTGAAGAACCCATTTAATCCCGGGAACAATAGGCTTTTAGTGGCAGCGGTATCAACTCACTGACGCGTGTCTACCAGAGTCAAAAGGCAAGCAACCTGCGTTAAAATAGCTTTGGCTCTGATTTGCATGCTGTGGGAACGTCAGGTCAGGATCTAGCCGCTGATATACATGATACCATTGAACCTAACATACGCATGTCAACACACCGCGCCACGTCTGTTCTAAGAAGCCCAAACAACTCTGTTTGCATTCGATAAACTTGGAACAGCTCTGGTGAGAGAGATTTGGACAGATAAAATACTGAAACGATAAAGCACACCGACCACGCCCTGGCTTCCTTACATGTTGCTCTCCATTGTTTACTTTCCTGAATTCTGTCCCACTGGTGACATCAACGCAAACCCAGTGTGATGATGTCACCAGAGACGCAGCGGCATGGGTCAGAGGCCAACTTTCTTTACCAATGGGACGGGACCCACGTGCTGATTGTTAGTGGGTCATGTTTGATAAACACATGTTAGCCTGCTATTTTAAGTGGGAAAGAGGCTAAAGTCTATAATGTATGTTTCAGGTTTTCTGTGATTTATAAACTAACATAATTATTTTAAAGTATTCTCTGAGATACTGGGAGCTGGTGTAGGACTTCTGGGTTGATGTTCTCCAATTTCCTAGTTGTAGCGAGAACGCAGGTAGTATTTGGATCAGCTGCAGCTGTCTGATCCACTATTTAGACAAACCTGTTAAGACACCTCTGCAGGGATCCTTTCTCCTACTGATGAATGCAGACATTAGTCCTTTTAGATCCTGCTGGTCGTCTGGTCCTACTGGTGAACATCTTGTCCTGGAATAAATATACTAAAAAATGTGGCTGTGGGCTTCTAACTGTCTGAATTTTGGAACTGCAGGAGTAAGCTTTCACCAGATGCCCGTCCACAGAAGATCATCAACACCCTCCGTCTCCCCTCGGGTGTGGGGGCAACATGCATCCTCAAGACTCCCTTTAACAGCACCCTGGACCAGCTAGCCCAGACCCTCAACCCCAGTGCCAACGACTCCAAGACTCTGGCTGCCCAGTACTTTGACTCCATGTGTCTGGACTCCTTCACCCAGGGGGTCCCTCTGTCCAACTTCGTCCCCCCACCACCTTCCCCAGCTCCTTCAGATGATCCAGACCCTCGTTTTGTTGATGGGTTATGGAACTTTACTGTTGCCCCTCCAACCACTGTACACGGTGAGTCCAAAAACTGTGCGCTTTTATATCCCCCTATAACCCCCTTCTTCTCCGCTTCACTCCCAAAACTTCGTCCCTTTTTGCATCACCACATCGCGCTGCATCATTTTATCATGATTGGCTGGTGGCATCATTGGTGGAAGTTAAAAAAGATTACGTTTTAAAAACAAAAGCAGCAAAACTGCACAAATCTGCACTAATGATGCATAAAAAAAGTAGAATGCTGTGGTTCAATCTGGAGCTTAGTGGTGAGATGGTGACCTCAGGATGGCTTAAAACCATTCAGTCTATTTGTAGAGATTTTTTAACGTGAGTGGGCTGTCAGCTTTGCTTGTGGACCATGAATTGTTGCCACTATATGCTCGGCGTGCGCGTTTAGTGCTAAATACGCTTGTTTAATGTTATTTACGCTTGTGGTGAATGAAAATACACTCGTGGTTCACTTTTGTTGTAATCCTGATGCCATAATCCAGCCTTTAACCCCTGTGAGTATTTTAACTTAGATCTACTGCGTGGTTTGAGATCCTTTGCCTTGAGTGACATGTTGTATTCAAGTGTCTGATTACAGCACTAATTTAATTTATTCATTCAGTACCACCAGAAGGAAATGGATCCAATTACCTGAACCTTCATTTCTTGAATTTCTTTTAAGGGTGATAAGTTGTGGATCTCTGCAGGTTATTATTTATAAGTGGTAAAGAGGCCCAAAGAAATGTCTTGGATCTGAAGAGAAGCTGTGTTTAGGCCAGTAAATCTGATATTAAATGAGAAAGGTCATGGAGAAAAGTATTCAACCATACAGTTCAGTTAAATAAACAGAGATTGATGGATTTCACTCAGTCGTTCATCATTATTGCACGGTAATCAGCCCTGTTCTGATCTGGGCAGCGTCCGTTACCCCTTACTTACAATAATGGAAAGTAATCAGAGTCAAAACAAATTACAGGCACTGAATTGTTCTTTGGCATGAGGGGCACTTTGTAAATTGTTTTGTTCCATTAGCAAATTGTCTCATTCTCCCTCCTCCGTCCAAGAAAAAAATTACTTATTTAGATTCCAATTTTTTGCAGTGTAACCGTTCAAGTTATCCTGCTGCCATGAAGCAGACAGGACTGAAATTTTAACCTCCTTGGTAAATATGGCTGAAAAGTCTGCTGAGTGTAATAAATCTGTGGTTTCCTCAGAGCCTGTCACATCTCCTCCCACCCTCCCGCTGTCCATCCATGAGCCAGTCCGATGCACCTGTTCGATGCAGGGCACCGGCTTCTCCTGCCCCAGTGGGGTTGGAGGACGCCCCCCTCTCATGAAAGTGGTGACAGGGGACATCCTGGTGGACATCACAGGACGAAACGTCTCAGAGTATCTGCTCTTCACCTCAGACAGAGTGCGGCTCCACAGGTAGGACTGAACAGGCAACCCGATGAAAACCTGATCGATTGATTGACTTTATTGATCTTACAGTGGAGAAAGTTACATCAGCTCAAATAGTCAAAAGAGAAGAAGGTGCCAAAGGAAGAAAAAGGTGCATGCAATATTTACAGGATATAAAAGTGCGTCCACATATGACAGGTTTTTTTTTATAACAGGATTATTATACAGAGTTATTGCACAGGGTGTTTACATCTGTATTTATATAGATGGATATTTATATATGTAGTTATTGCACTGGGTGTCAAATATAGAGAAACAGGTAATTGCACCGGGTATCAAATGGTAAATTGCACATTATACAATGCCTGGCCAAAAAAAAAAAGTCGCCCCCTGGATTCAACTAAGCAAATAGGTACAAGCCTCCTATTGGATAATTACTGCATGAGTGATCTTTCAGCTGGCAACAAGTTATTTAACCCCAACTGGTGCAATGACTTGCTTCTCATTTTTCTAAACAACCATGTCGAAAGAAACATCCCGTGGTTGTGGAAAAGATGTTGGTCTGTTTTAGAAGGGTCAAAACATTGGCATGCATCAAGCAGAGAAAACATCTAAAGAGATTGCAGAAACTCCTAAAATAGGGTTAAGAACTGTCCAACGCATTATTAAAAACTGGAAGGATAGTGGGGACCCATCATCTTCAAGGAACAAATGTGGCCGGAAAAAAATCCTGAATGATGGTGATCGGCGATCACTTAAACGTGGGGTGAGATCAAATCGAAGAAAAACAACAGTAGAACCCAGGGCTATGTTTAATACTGAAAGTAAGAGCATTTCCACACGCACAATGCGAAGGGAACTCAAGGGATTGGGACTGAACAGCTGTGTAGCCGTAAGAAAACCACCAATCAGTGAAAAAAAGGCTTCAATTTGCAGGGAGCATAAAGATTAGACTGTGGAGCAATGGAAGAAGGTCAATGTGGTCTGATGAGTCCAGATTTACCCTGTTCCAGAGTGATGGGCCAATCAGGGTAAGAAGAGAGGCAGGTGAAGTGATGCACCCACCATGCCTAGTGCCTACTGTACAAGCCTGTGGGGGCGGGGTTATGATCTGGGGTTGCTGCAGTTGGTCAGGTCTAGGTTCAGCAACAGTATGAGCTCAAAGAATGAGGTCAACTGACTACCTGAATATACTGAATGACCAGGTTATTCCATCAATGGACTTTTTCTTCCCTGATGGCACAGGCATATTCCAAGATGACAAATGCCAGGATTCATCGGACTCAAATTGTGAAAGACTGGTTCAGGGAGCATGACTCATCATTTTTACACATGGATTGGCCACCACAGAGTCCAGACCTCAACCCCATTGAGAATCTGTCAATCTGGTCATGGCTAAAGCAAGAAAAAATTTAAAACTTTCTGAAGAGGCTAAAAAGAGAAAAGGGGACGTGCTGTCAATCTGGGATGTGCTAGAGAGGGCTTTGCGCAGCGGTCAGACTCTACCGTCATCAATGCAAGATCTTGGTGAAAAATTAATGTAACACTGGATGGAAATACATCTTTTGACATTGCAGAAGCTTATCGAAACAATGCCACAGCGAATGCGTGCTGTAATCACAGCTAAAGGCGCTCCAACAAAGTATTAGAGTGAGGGACCTTTTTTTTTGGTGGCAACTTTTTTTTTTTGGCCAGGCAGTGTACATTGCACAAGTTATTGTCCTTATAGTGTCGCATAGTCTGGTTGCAGCAGGGATGAATGACCTGCAGTAGGGCTCTTTTTTTAAAAACAGAGTGTAAAAGTTTTTCACTAAAGGAGCTGCTCAGCTCCTCTACAGTCTGGTGCAGAGGGTGGAAGGTGTTGTCCATGATGGATTTAAGTTTGGACAGCACCCTCTTCTCAGTCACTTCCTCCTCTGTGTCCAGAGTGCAGCCTAGGACATTAGGAAAATACACTTTTCCTAATGTCTAACATATTTATATGATTTATTTACAGGCTGCATACATTAATTTACATCATGTTCCTGAACTCACTGTCATTAATATAAGAAAGATAATGTCGGCAGCTCCACCTCAAAACAAAAGCATTTTAGGCTATCTGAGTTTTTTCATCATTTCTAAGCATCCAAACATCTCTTTTTGAGAGTTTGCAGAGATATTTTAGAAATTCATAAGAAGTTAAGAAACATTTTGAGACATAGATTGTAGTCATTCGAAATAAAACAGGGAATAAAATGGGACAGATTTCAGATTTTCCTGTCTGTTTTCTTGGTTTTGATTAGATACGGAGGTTTAACTGTGGGGAACATCCAGAAATCCATCCCTGCTTCCTTTGGGAGGAACATTCCTCCAATGGTTCGTAAGATCGCAGTACGCAGATCAGCTCAGGTAAGACAGGCAGCCCGAGGGTCTCTGCTAAACTACAACGTATCGTGCTGCTCCTGAAACACCGCCTTGTTTCTAGGTCCTGTACAACAACAAAGGCTACCACAGCATGCCCACCTACCTGAACGTCCTGAACAACGCCATCCTGCGCGCCAACCTGCCTGCCTCCAAAGGAAACCCAGCTGCTTATGGTACAGATATATTCATTTTATTGCAGTTTTCTTATTTCGACCAACTCCTTCTCTTTCTGGAATAGCCCTAAAAACATCTTTGTCTTTTGTGTTTACTTTTTGGAGGTATCACACTGACCAACCACCCAATGAATCGAACCAGTGCCAGCCTTTCTTTGGACTACCTGTAAGTTAAGACATATTGCAAGAAATTGCCTCTAAATCTAAACGTTATACACACAGCTGTGAAGTCTCTCATTATGGCTGGGAAAATACATTATTTTACCATTTTTTTTCTACCACTGTCCTAACCTAGCAGTAAATTTCCCATATTATTGAATTATATAAAGAAAAACACTGGTCGGCCTCTCCAAATGGACTGTCGCTAGCATTGCAAGTCTAAATCTGATGACCTGATTGCAATTTGCATTTGGTTGACAACTGTTTCATTTAGATTTCTTGTTCCAAAGAGGTGAAAAGAGCTTTAAAAGCTTCCTGGATGGGAAGCAAAACGTCCTCAAACTTGGAAAAATATTCCAGTGGATTGTTTTTTCACCTTTTTTGAAATGACTACGACCTGGATGACTGAGAGTCTTCACCAGGAGAGGTTTCTTGTGCACATGTTTTAGAATATAATGGATACTGGAGCTGGACTGGAATGGTCGGAGGGCTGTTTGTCAAATCGAAAACCTGACAAATGTGGTTCTGCAGCATTTTAAGTGTTTGAATGTGTGTCCAGGTGTCACTACCTGCAAAATCTACCTCGCTAAGGCTGAAAAAGAATGGGAGAAACTGGGTTTTTATTGCATTGTTTATTCAGTTTAAATAAGAAAATCCTTAATCTTTATCTTTTCACCATCTCTTTCTACTCAAAACAAGTTCGGATCATTTTAGGACTAATTTTACTGATGGAACCACTACGGTTGTTCAGGTTTAAAACATCTATGAATATCTATGGACGGGGGAAGTTTAGATCTTCTTTCAGACCTTCAGCAATAGTGACAAATCCAAATATTTTTCAAACTGATAAATTGGAAGATGCTGTTGTTTTGAAAGGCACATATATTTTCCTAAATCTACAGTTGTGTTTATGTTCAGTGTTTCCTTCTGCTTCACGGTTCAGTCTAATAACTGCTACCAAAAGCTGGCTGCGTTCAGTCCGATTACTGCATTAATTCCTGCAGTAGAATCACTTCCCTTCATCTCCTTATCTGCAGGCTCCAAGGCACAGATGTGGTGATCGCCATCTTCATTATTGTCGCCATGTCCTTTGTACCTGCAAGCTTTGTGGTTTTCCTGGTTGCAGAGAAATCCACTAAAGCCAAACACCTGCAGTTTGTCAGCGGCTGTGACCCTGTCATCTATTGGTTGGCCAACTATGTCTGGGACATGGTGAGGAGGACCGAGGCGTGACGTGTGTATCGCTCATGCTGATCATCCTGCAGCACGCTGACATCGGGTGTTGTGTCTCTTCTGTTTTGCAGCTGAACTACCTGGTACCCGCCACATGCTGCGTTATCATTCTGTTTGTGTTTGACCTGCCGGCCTACACATCACCAACCAACTTCCCTGCCGTTCTCTCCCTGTTTCTACTCTATGGGTGAGATTCTGATCTTCTGTGTGGGCTAGTATGCGTCTGCCTGGTTCTAAGCATGCTTTTTCTTTGCAGGTGGTCCATTACCCCCATCATGTATCCAGCATCCTTCTGGTTTGAAGTTCCCAGTACAGCCTATGTCTTCCTCATCGTCATTAACCTCTTCATAGGCATCACTGCAACCGTGGCCACATTCCTCCTGCAGCTCTTTGAGCATGACAAGGTGTTTGACTGTTGCAACTGCACACTGTACAGCAGGGCTTTAGGATTTTACATCAATGATTTGTTTTAGTCACACCTGAGAGATTTGGCACCGCACAGTGCACATCTGTATGGAAGCAAATCGTTACCATATTTCCGATGAAAAAGCATTTCTGGAAATGCTTTTTCATTTTAAGAATGTGGCTGCATTATTTGACTCATAAATTAAATTAGTAATCAATCATCCTATTTGCATTTTCATTTTCTTCTTAAACACCGGTCATCCTTTTACTTAATTAAAATGAAAAAGAAAAAGACATTTGCGATTTATTTTTCAAAATGCACCCCAGCAAATACATACCAAAATTCAATTTGAAATGTAAAAATCTCAAATGTCTTTTTAATTTTAATTAAGTAAAAGGATGAGCAGTGTTGAAGAAGAAAATGAAAATACAAACAGGATTATTGATTACTAATTTAATTTATGAGTCAAACAATGCAGCCACATTCTTAAAATGAACAAGTATTTCTGAAAATGCTTTTTCATTTTAAATATGGTAACAATTTGCTTCCATACTACATCTGGAGCAGTGGCAACTAAACAGCAGACATAAATGCAACAAGCTACCTCAAGAAAGTAGAATAGAAATGATTTATAAAAAAAGATCAATAGTTTCAAAATACCATGAATTGTTAACATCCCCTATATCCGAGGTCTGAAACCTTTAGTATCCAAAGAGCCATTTATGACTTCAGTCCAGTTAGCTGTTTTAGAGATTCAAACCTTCTCTACAGAAACAAAGGGATAATTTACTTATAATTAACATTTACCACAAGAGATTTGTATTTTTTGTTCTAACAACGACCATGCTATTTCACATTTTAGGTTTCAAATTTAAGAAAAAATGAGAATAAATACATTTTTAATTGGTTATTAATAATTTTGGAAAATTATGTTGAAAAACATATTATTCCCTCTTAAAAAAAGATAATTAGAAAAATAAATATGTAATTCTGCTTTAATTATTCCATTTATTTTGTGAATTGAATTTAAAAAATGTCTTCAGCTCTAGTATTAAAACTGTATTAGAGCTGCAAACTTTACCAGACCTTTTTTTTTTTTGAAAATTATAACCTATATTTAACACAAATATATAATGGGTTACTGATATTTTTTTGGAAAATCATGTAGCTGTTATAATTAGGTTTTTTTTATTTATTTATTTTTTATTCAGTGCCATAAGTTATGGAGGACCAACTCCATAACTTAGAAATAAATAAATATATAAATGGTAAAAAATAAATAAACATTGGTTGGTTAGCATTTTATTGCAGAAGATGGGCCGCCAACCAATGAGCAGAAGGTGACTCTCTAGGACACACCCCCTCCTTCTCATTTGCATAATGAGACAGAAATGCGTATAGAAATGTAAAAAGGGCAGGCAGAAATAAATGACGACGAAGAACTAACTAGGGTAAAATAATACAAAGGAAGAATAAAACAGACAGATATCATAACATGCACATAAATAAATACTTAAAAATATAAGTAATTAAAAATAAAGTTGAAGATTATAAAGGACAAAAAAATAAATAAGGTAAATATTACAAAGGCAAATAAACAAAGAAGCTAATTAAGAGTTATATATATTTATTTCAAACTGTATAATTTAATTTCTACTTACATTTATTTGTTTATTGTATTTTTGGTGGCAATTAATTGTATGCTTATTTATTTATTGAGCATTTATTTATTTCTGTATTTATTTTTAAATATGGCAGAGTTGGTCCTCCATACAATAAGTCAGTGGAACAAATGCTAAAACATGCATTTGGTATTATTTCTACAGTTAAAAATTTGCTATTTCTTCATTATTTTAAGCCTAAGTGATGAAGACCCAGTATTGAAAATCTAAAACTATAGGAGCCCTGCCCTATATTTATCAATGAAAATGTGTCTGTATTTAAAGGCACATCGTGTAACTTTTGGCCACTAGTGGTGCTAGACCTGTAACTGCCTCTATTCTGCTTCTACTAAACATCGAAAATGATAACATTGATATATGACTGCATAATAGCAGCAAAATATGAACTTACCAGTCTAATTTTACAGTTGAGAAAAGGGAATTGGTTTTACATCCGGCTTCTTCTTTCAGCCTGCACCAACAAACAAATTCCTTTCTAAGGACGACTCGTGTTTTTCCTCAAGCACGTCCCCTTTTCTCTTTTTAGCCTCTTCAGAAAGTTTTAAATTTTTTCTTGCTTTAGCCATGACTAGAAGTCGAATAGGTCTCCTCTGTTCATTCAGGCCAACAATTCCCGCTAACGACCCCCCTTTCAGAGACATGGACAGGTATGGAGGATAGCAGGGTAACGAAGAAGACAAATGACCACCATTCCAAAGGGGCGGACCTGTTCGTCCGGTTCAATTCGCTTTGGTCTACTCTATTAAGCCTGGAACTCAATGGTTTTTCTGACATTTTCAATTGAAAAAGGTTCCTGGATGGAAGCAAAACGTCTTCAAACTTGGAAACTAAGTCCAGTGGATTGTTTTTTTTTACTTTTTTGGAATGACTATGACCTGGATGATTGAGAACTTCACCAGCATACTGTACCCCATTTTCTTTAAGTTCTCATGAAATTAATACTTTAAACATTTTCAGGGGTTTAAATCTGGAACTTCAGGGAAAACCAGCCCACCTGCAGAGTGTGGTATTTATTTCTGGATCATTTTCTTCTGCCTCAGGATCTGAAGAGAGTCAACAGTTACCTGAAGTCCTGCTTCCTCATCTTCCCCAACTACAACCTGGGACACGGCCTGATGGAGATGGCCTACAACGAGTACATCAACGAGTACTATGCCAAGATAGGTACTAATGCACTAAGCTTCCACACAGGGAGCTCAGGAGGATCTGGGGATGATCCCAGTATGCTGAGTCAGCAGATCCTTTTCCGTCTAAGACGGAAACATTTCCCACGTTTCCAGGCGGAAGCAGGTCCTGCTTCCTCATGTCAGGGCGATGCTAACTGTCCCAACTGCTCTGTTCGTTACAGGTCAGTTTGACAAGATGAAATCTCCGTTTGAGTGGGATATTGTGACTCGAGGACTCGTTGCTATGACGATTGAAGGCTTCGTCGGCTTTCTCATCACCATCCTTTGCCAGTACAACTTCCTGAGGAAACCTCCGTGAGTGTGACTGCGTTTGATTTCCTGCTGCTGATCCGTCCAGCTTTCCATTTAGCCGATGCTCTCTCACAGCTAACATTTTAGGGACCTGTCCAGATATACACCATAACTGACTTCATAGCCTGCAGGGCAGCAACAACCATATCCCCTCTGATAAAAGAGTTTATAGCTTATTAGGAGCTAATATGTTTAATATATAAAGACAATGGAACATACTGCATTGTTGTTTAGTTACCATGATCAGGGGTGGATTTAGGAAATGTGGGGCTCTAGGCAAAGACAGGCCTCTGAATTGAGAAGACAACACATAAAACGGACCCATTATACAGATACAGATTTATAGAATAGACATCCATTATCTGTTCTAGGTTGTGTCCCTCTCTTCTTGTCCCTTTTCTTCTTGTTTTCCTCTCTATGTTTTGTACTCAGCTGACTTTTCATGCTGTCTCTAAAGGAATGAAAGATTTTTTCCAAGCACTAAGCTCACTTAGCTGATTGCTCCTTCCTGTGTTTCCAAAAAGGCCAAAGTAAATAACCCAGTCCTTCTTTTCACTGTAGACAAGCCATGATCTGCTTATCTGTTCTCCATTTTTCATTTGGATGAAATAATAGCTGCATGAATCATGACAGCAGACAAGATAGAGGAGAGCAGGAGGCGGGGTTACCAATCTACTCGCTCTGGAGAGCAGAGTTCGCTGCTTTTAGATGTTGTCACTAAAGTCTCCAGTAGCAGAAAAAAAGTCGCTAGATTTTGTGCTAGGCACTTTTTCTAATAGAATTGCTAGAGGGGTATGAGATTTTGTTGGTAAATATAGCAACAAAAAGGGCTAAGTTCGTAACACTGCTCTTTGCATCGTTTGCTTTCAAATGGTTTGCTTTTGTCTGTTTGGACCTTTCTGAACATGTGCAGCAAATGGACTGATCCATTATGGTGGACACTGAAGGGCCTGAGAAACACATAATATTATAAGTGTTCTGATGGCATTTCAACAAAAGAACTTGGGTCCCTTGGCACCTAGTTTTGCCTAATGGAAAATCCACCCCTGACCATGACCCAGAGTCGTGTCGACAAAGAGGCAAGGAGCTGATTTGGAACAGGATCTGTTGCTACTTTTATCAGCAGCTTTTCTCTTTTTATTTCCATGGATCTTTAAAAGAAAGTCTAGCTTCAGGTGTGTTTGTTTGTGCATGAATGCAGGAGGGTCCCGGTCAGCTGCCAGCCGATTGATGACGATGACGTAGATGTTGCCAGTGAGAGAGAAAGAGTGCTGCGCGGCGACGCCGACGGCGACATGCTGCAGATCGAGAACCTGACAAAGGTTTCACTCTCTGATATGGTCCAGACTGTGGCCCCCGAACCACTGAAACATCAGATACAATGACTAATAAAAGCGTTAACCCGTCTGATTTGTTGCCCCTCAGGTATATAAGTCCAGGAAGATGGGTCGCATCCTGGCCGTGGACCGCCTGTGTCTGGGCGTCCGGCCTGGAGAGTGCTTCGGACTTCTGGGAGTGAACGGAGCAGGAAAGACCAGCACTTTTAAGATGCTGACAGGAGATGAGTGCACTACAGGAGGAGAGGCTTTCATCAATGGAAACAGGTCAGCACCATCTTTAGGAATGATCCCTCTTCTGTTGGACCCTCTTACAGGGTTAAGCCTGATGTTACGGTGTTTTAGTCAAAATCTGTTAAAAGTAGGCATGAAATTTGAAAATGAGAGCATTACCTGTTACTGTAACATGAAAATCCTTTAAGTCCAACTATCCATCTTACAAAAAGAGCCTCACTTCTAAAATACTGTTAAAATAACAAAAAGCAGCAGAATAAAGAGAATAAGAGACATTAATGTATGACCTGCATCACTGTACAGAAGATAAATAGCCATATTTACACTGAGCGCATGGCATACAATTATGCCAATTTTCCTAATCCCTGACCGATAATTTTTAATCTAGGGTTATCTGGGTGGAGGGTAAAATAGGTGGTGGGTGTGTTACTCTACTTACATTTTTTTTTGCCTTGCTGTTGTTTTTTAGCCTGCCAAGTCAAAAAAAAAGTGTCTGATTCACGCCAATTACCGGACAAAAATCACGCCATCTGGTGGAAAACACGCACCTTTTTCAAATCACGCGAGAATGTGTAAAAAACAACAAAAATTGCACCGGCAGCTCTTCTGGGTCGTTTTCACAGAATGTCGGTGATTTTAAAGTAATTTTGAGTGATAAATATTTTTTTTTTGCGATCATTGCACTTACCCGGCGGGCAAATGCAATGAAATTTGTCCTCTCCTAACAATAAAAACTACTTGCCTCGGGAGATCGGGCGATGGTTAACATCGAGCCCTGTATATGATCTTTTAACATGACCAGTATTGCATTGCTGGTCACTAGATGATTGGTATTAAACTTAAGCGCAAACAATTCATATTTATTCTGCTGCTTTTTGTTATTTTAACAGTATTTTAGAAGTGAGCCTCTTTTTCTAAGATGGATAGTTGGACTTAAAGGATTTTCATGTTACAGTAACAGGTAATGCTCTCTTTTTTTGCACTTGCCCGGCGGGCAAATGCAATGAAACTTGTACTCTCCCGACAATAAAAACTACTTGCCCCGGGAGATTGGGTGATGGTTAACATCGAGCCCTCACACCACATTAACCCATTCACTCTCACACTGATGATGCAAACTACATCGTAGCCACAGCCATCCTGGGGCTCACTGACAGAGTCTCTGGCCAGCAGCAGTAGGCATTGCGGGTGAAGTGTCTTTCCCAAGGACACAACGAAAAACCGGAGCCGGGTCTTGGACCGACAACCCTCCAGTCCAGTCCTTTTCAATTCCCCTTAGTCTTTTGAATAAAATACAGCCTCCAATTAGTGAGAGGTGGATACGCCTCCAAATTGTACATAGAATTGCTTTGCATGGTCTGTGGGGAACCACAGGAGGGTTCAGAAGCAAAAACTAAGAAGTGTTCATAAAACATATCTTGCTGCAGTGGAAACTGACATGATGCTCTGAGTAAGATCACTTTCCCCAGAGTGAACTAGCCTCTGACATCATAAGGTTGCTTTGAGTTCTGTGATGACTATAATTTAGGCTACTCTTTAAAGTCGTGAAAATAACTTTGGCTGCAGAAGTACTTTTAGACTGATGTGGTGTTTTGTTTGTGCTGCAGTATCCTGAAGGACCTGCTACGTGTTCAGCAGAGCATCGGCTACTGTCCTCAGTTTGATGCTCTGTTTGACGACCTAACTGCCAGGGAGCATCTGCAGCTCTACACTCGCCTCCGTGGGATTCCCTGGAAGGACCAGGGGAGGGTCAGTATGAACACACAACTTTATATTACAGTTGTAGGAGCTAGCCAAAAGATGCCAATTTCCTAAAACTGGAAGAGATGAGCTTTCATCTTCATTTTAACAAAAGCATGTTCTTCTAAACATGAGTAGCAAAAAGCAGAGCCCTTATCTGTTGGTTTGAGTCTCAGCTGGGTCATGTTGTTCCAGGTTTTTACATCTGCGATCAGAGGTTTTTAACCCTTGTTCTCCTCCCCCTGTGTCTTTCTACCCCACAGGTTGTGCAGTGGGCTTTAGAAAAGCTGGAGCTCTCAAAGTATGCAGACAAACCCGCCGGCACTTACAGCGGAGGAAACAAGCGCAAGCTTTCCACAGCTATTGCTCTGATCGGATACCCGTCTCTTATCTTCCTGGTGAGATGTTGGAAGAGTCTTACTAAACTAAGCATTCAATGTTTTTTAAATCATTTTAGCCTTATAGGAAATAAAGCAATGAGAAACAGGGAAACTGTTAAGGCTTTACCTTGTTATTGATCGAGGCGCCACAGTTCTCCTAATTCAGAACTTTATGTACACTGCAAGATCATGGTCCCCATGTCCTACACCTACTGCTTGTTGTACAGGATATGTATGAAAAGAGTTTTCCTACAAAAACAAACTTTAAAATCCTCACAGTCTGGTGCAGAGTTTGAAGCAGCTGATCCAGCTGAAGGCAAAGGAGCTCTAGAGCTGTTACTTTCTATTCTTCTCCACTTGTTTGAACTATGAATGTTGCTTTTGAAGAGCTCCAGCTCTAAATAGTGCCTGTTTGCAGGGATTATTGGGGGGAAGTTGAGCATTTCCTTCCACCCTCTCATTCTTATTGTTTAAGCTCATAGTATTTGTTAAATAGAATACTAGGAGAGACCTCACACATTTACTGAGTGAACTTTGTGCTGTGATTCAAACTTCGGAGCTTTCTGTTGCCAGACAAGCACCAACATCTCCTCCACCAGGAAGCTGTGCTGTATTTTATGGGGCGCCTTTTGTAAAATTAAGCAGTCAAAAATTAGGAGCAATATTTATGCTTATTTAGCGTGTTTTAAGAGAAAAATAAGGGTCAATTATTTCAACTTCTTCCAGTATGTTATTCATTGATTTACAAAAATCTTACTTTAATTTAGTTTGCAAAGAAATATTTAGTTTGTTAAATGTTTAATTTGCAAACTAAATATTTAGTTTGGAGCTAAGTAGTTATTTAATAAACTAAATATTTAACTCCAAACTAAATATTTATTTTAAAAAAAGTAAGATTTTTTTTATAAATGAATGGATGACATTATTTTTCTCTTAAAACATGCTAAATAACCATAAATATTGCTCATAATTTTTGACTGCTTAACTTTACAAAAAGTGCCCCATAGAATTTAAAATGTTTATTTAATCAATACATCTTATTTAGTCTCAGACCTTTTCAGATTTACCAAGTAGATTTTTCTTCATGATTAATTTGACATAAAAGGTCATAGTTAAACGGCAGATTCTCTTCTCTTTCCGGTACCTGTCGATGGTATTGTGTGGCCCTCAACCAAGCTTCCAAAATGCCATTTGGCCCGTTGGTGTTTTTAGTTTTGGTTGATGTGACATTAGGAAGAACAAAGGAAACCTAAATTCACCACATGGACCTCATGATACCATAACGACCCCTATGTGGATGTGGTCTAAATGTTTGCACCTGTTGTTCTTATTTCAGAGACTTACATTCTATGTGTGTTTGGTTAGTAGATATTTCTGCTCTGGGATTATTACTGATGTTTGGGATTCTTATGGAAGGAAAGGGAAACATAGTCTGCAAGAAAGCTCCTGAAACTAATGTTAAAGATTAGATTAGATTAGATGAGCTTTATTGATCTCACAGCGGAGAAATTCACTTCTTACATATTGGCATAGAAGTCAATGAAGGTGAAAACAAGGAGGAAAAAGGTGCATTAAAATGAGTTATATCCAGGGATAACATTACCAAGGGGTCTCTGGGCAACATTAAAGCTATTAGTTGGTTAGATACAAGCTAAACTGCAAACGCAGAATATGTGGGATACAATCTGCTGCTTCGCCTCATATCAAAATAATTCACAATCAAGCAAAAAGTGCTTCTGACAACATCAGTATCTGCCTTGTTAAACAGCAATGAGTTGTTATTGGTTTTAGGACTAAATTAGACTTTATCTGATTCCCAAACCAAAACAGTTCTCTCCATTATAGTGAGCAGGTTGAGTCTGGGTTAAAAGAACCCAGGATTCATTATTCTTCTGTTTCTCCTTTGTTCTATTATCCAGGATGAGCCCACCACTGGCATGGACCCTAAGGCCCGCAGGTTCCTCTGGAATTTAATCCTTGATATCATCAAAACCGGGCACTCTGTTGTTCTCACGTCACACAGGTGATGACACAGACACCTATAACTGCAGAGGAACATTTTAACAGAAGGATCTAACATCTTATGTATGTTGTTTTCCACAGCATGGAGGAATGTGAGGCTTTGTGCACCCGACTGGGAATTATGGTAAATGGGAGGTTTAAATGTCTGGGCAGCATCCAGCATCTGAAGAACAGGTAAACAATCACACGCATCTTTTGGAATGTTGGAATCAGTTCCACAGTTTGAATTGGCTCCAGGGGTGGAGCCAAATCAAACTATGGAACGGGTTCAATGGCTGGAACAATTCCTTGGTCTGAACCAGTTTCTTAATGGAACTGATTCCATGGATGGAATGATTACACATTCAGAAGCAGTTCCTTAATAGAACCAATTCCCCAGTTGGAATGACTCCACATTCTGAACCAGATCCAGAATGAAAATGATTCCATGGCTGGAACGACTCCACGGTCTGAACCAGTTCCCGAATGGAGCTGGTTCCACAGTTGGAATGATTCCACATTCTGAACCAGTTTCTTAATGAAACTGATTCCATGGATGGAACGATTCCTCGGTCTGAACCAGTTTCTTAATGGAACTGATTCCATGGATGGAACGATTCCACGGTCTGAACCAGTTTCTTAAAGGAACTGATTCCATGGTTTGGAACGACTACACATTCAGAAGCAGTTCCTTAATAGAACCAATTCCCCAGTTGGAATGACTCCACATTCTGAACCAGATCCAGAATGGAAATGATTCCATGGCTGGAACGACTCCACGGTCTGAACCAGTTCCCGAATGGAGCTGGTTCCACAGTTGGAATGATTCCACATTCTGAACCAGTTTCTTAATGAAACTGATTCCATGGATGGAACGATTCCTCGGTCTGAACCAGTTTCTTAAAGGAACTGATTCCATGGATGGAACGATTCCACGGTCTGAACCAGTTTCTTAAAGGAACTGATTCCATGGTTTGGAACGACTACACATTCAGAAGCAGTTCCTTAATAGAACCAATTCCCCAGTTGGAATGACTCCACATTCTGAACCAAATCCAGAATGGAAATGATTCCATGATTGGAACGACTCCATGGTCTGAACCAGTTCCCGAATGGAGCTGGTTCCACAGTTGGAACGATTCCATATTCTGAACCAATTTCTTAATGAAACTGATTCCACAGCTGAAACAATTGCACCACTGGAGTCGCTTCCTGTAAGGAAGAGACCCAAACACTGAAACAGATTCCTGATTCCAACCAACTCCACATTTTGAAAAGACTCCATTGTTGGAACAGATTTCAGTTTTTTCACCAAATACTAATAGAAGTGATTCCGAGGTTGGAATGGTTGAAATTGCAAATAATAGTCCATGTTTGGAAAAGATTTAATGGTTTGAAACAATTTTACATTGGAACCAATTCCATGGTTGTCACAGTTCCTGATTTGGAAACGATTGCAACAGTGGAATCAGGAACCGGTTCCACCGTTGGAAACAGATTCTGACTTCACTACTGAAACCAATTCCCCAGTTGGGAAAGACTCCATGCTTGGAACCAATTTAATGCCTGGAACTGGTTTCTGGTTGGAATAATTTTCTGATCGGACCCAGTTCCACCACTGGAACAGCTTCCTGTTGAAATCTGAGCCCACGTAGTGTCTGTGATATTTGGACATGTAACGGATCATATAAATACCGAGAATTTTATGGAGTAACTAAATCCTCACATTGATTAGTTAGGACAACAGATTAGATGGAAAATGGTTCAAATGCTAACCTGAGAATGATCGGACTGAGTGGAGAAACTGTTGCTGGAAAGTTCCATTCGTGATGATCCTCCAGGTTTGGAGATGGCTACATGATAACTGTGAGGACCAAAAGCAGCTCCAATGTGAAGGAGGTGGTACGATTCTTCAACAGAAACTTCCCAGAGGCCATTCTGAAGGTAAAAGAGCCTTAGCTGCATACCAACCTGAGCTCCAGCCTCATTTCCACAGGAAAAACAGAACATTTTGCCTCTTAGAACCACAGACTGGGTTCCTATAATGTGCAATCTACTGACATATTTGCAGGAGCGCCACCACACCAAGGTCCAGTACCAGCTGAAGTCTGAGAGGATCTCCCTGGCTCAGGTCTTCAGTAAGATGGAGCAGGTGGTGGAGGTCCTGGGCATAGAGGACTACTCCGTCAGTCAGACCACGCTGGACAATGTGTGTCTCTCAGACGGGTCGCAACATAACAGCATGACATGTTTCCATGGGGACCAATCACTAAGCAGCTCCTCTTTTCTTACTTAGGTGTTTGTTAACTTTGCCAAGAAGCAGAGCGACAACCTGGAGCAGCAGGACGTGTTGGCCCCTGGTGATGGGCAGTCCCCCTTGCAGCGCCTCTTTAGCTTCCTGAAGGTTCGGCCTGCCAACACAGAGCTTAATGCTCTGATCAGCGAGGAACCAGAGGAGCTGGAGAGCGATGATGATGAAGGACTCATCAGCTTTGAGGAGGAAAGGGTGAGTGATCTTTCAGGAACACCTCAGGTAATGTTTTTTCTGCATCGGTTCATGTCGTCAGTGTGGTACCAGTTAATATCAGCTTTGGTCTGAAGGTTCTCCACCAGAGAACAGATCGAGCTTCTCTTCCAGTCTGTGGGAATGAGTCCAGTCACCAGACAGAGGATGATCCCAGCTGTTTCTATCTGGGACCTCTGCCCTTTCATCGCCTATCCACCATGGCCTTTTATGAGGGTCAGGATAGGGACCAGCAGATGAACAGCTTAGCTTTTTGAATTTGCTATGAAAGTCACAGCTTGAAGGCCACCCTCCTCTAGACAACCACGCCTTGGAATCCTGCTAACAGGATTCCTGACGGCTTTGTCCTTAGTTTCAAAGCCCTGATGACAACCAAACCCCTCCTGGGTTTCTGCTCCATAGACACCATGGGGAGAGCTGAGGCAGCGTCCTCTGAAGTGGCACACTATCCAAAAGAACTGGATTTTTGATTTATGCCCAATTTTGAAGCGTGGTTAGCGCTATGTTATTCCACGCAACAATGCAAGAGGGACAATCACGACATGATTGGGATTGTGGGTGAGGTGGGTGGCGTTTTACTCTTCCGTTACTAGGGGTGTAAAAAATAATCGTCTTGAGTATTGATTCATGTTTTTAATTTATTTTTTATCCATTTGCCCCTGGACGTAATTCTCCCTCCCGTGCTGCGGTGGCGCTAAGCCTATTTTACCCTCCTACCTCGTTTTCTGGTTATACTCTTACAGCAGTGTGTTGCAGTGAGCTTGACGCAGACATTTTTGATTTATGCTCAATATTGAAGCTTGGTCTGTGCTATACGCTGTGGGTCTAGATACGGCCGAGGCGGTGAGGAAGTGGGGGCAAGTTTAGTCCGACGACGGAGGGACATGAGGGCCAAAAAGAGCGGAGATCCAGGTGGAAAAAGGGTCCCAGCGTTCTCGCGCACCTCACTCTTCTAGCGGGTCAAACTTCACAAGTTGTTTTCCGCAATTTCGGTCGTAAAAACAAAGCAAGCTGGCCTCCTGTCTGCGTTCAGCTACAATTTGGGAGAGGTGCAGCGGAGCGGTCTGTGGAGGGGGCGGGACGTCTGGAGCCGAGGTATTGCATTGCACTCATTGCACTGATTTTGTGCAGTATTTTTTTGATGCAAGGCCTTTCAGAATCTATAATGCAGGGGTATTATTATTTTTCAGTGAATTAGGTTTTAATAGGAATAGGTCTAGTACAACTTTTCTACTTCTGTTATTTGCTGTTGTTTCTCAAAAAAATGCATAACGATATTAAAGCTTTCATTAATTTATTTCAAAATTTAAACATTGTCTAGCCTGTAAGGTGTTAAAAAAACAATTAATCGAATCGTGGTGTATTCTTGAGTATCAAAAATAATCGAATCGTTGGGTCAGGAAATCGATACTGAATCGAATCGCCATGATGGCTGAGATTTACACCCCTACCGGTTACGGAGGTCATTCAACAGCAATCCTTGTGGTGTGGAGAACGAGACTCGTACAGATTTGGGTACCTCCTCACTTCTTCGCAGACTCACTCTACTAGCTGGTCCTTCCTCGAGTCATTTTCCACAATGGCGGTCATACAAACAAAACAAGCCGGTAAGGTACCAAACAGGAAATATGCATAGAGTAGAGCGGATGTAGAGTTGACCAATCAGAGGCCTCCCTTCTCTCCTCCCTGCAAAGCTATCTGCTGCATGGTCTGCGGTCACCTACAATTTTGGGGAGGTGCACCAGAGTGTCTGCGGAAGGGGGGGGGGTGGCATATCTGTGTTAACTGTGACACACGCAGACGACCTGGTTTCTGAGCATAAACCAGTCTTTACTCCAGTCTTTATTTGTGACCCACTCTTCCATCGAACACTAAGGATCAGCCCCACAACCAGAGCAGGAGACCAACAAAGCTGTAGCAAAGGAACATGAATAATGTGAAAAGTTTTAGGCAGCATCATGAAGTTTTTCCATAAATCAACCTTAGATCCTGCCACCAAACCGTTTTTCTACGTACTTTGCTCTGCCAGCCAGGTTTCTGTTTTCTACATTCGTTCATGTTCATGTTCATGTTCGTTTTTGTTTTTTTTATATATTCAAGTTTTCATTAAAAGGCAGTATAGTCTTGTACAATCCTCCATTCCGTTTCTTATATTGATCCATACAACATACCACCTCGTGTGATTATCCGGTATTTAGTGTTCCTTTTTTTTTTTTTTGTCTTTCCTCCTTCCCCAACCCAATTCCTATCAGAGGAGTGGGGAGGATAAAGAATGAACAAAGCATTGTTTCTACTGAGTAACTTTTACAAACCGTAAAACAAATGTTCTAAAATGAACTGAGTAGCTACGGAACAATGGGTGTCACATCACTGTGATTATGTACAAGTCTGGTGTCCAAGAAAGTCTAGCCTCATGAGACCATCCTGATCTCGCGAGCTTTCAAGGTTTCACCTGCAGATCACTCTGGAGACTCTCCGTTAAAGAAAATTTGGAGCAGTTCACCAAACGAACGTCCAATCAGCGTTGGCTTTGAGGCGGGTTGAGGTGTGACGCAACGAGAAGCGCAACAGTTCAGTCTAAAGAACATGGCAGCTTCAGCCAATGAAACTAGCGTTAGCGTGGCTATCGAGCAACTTTTATTGGAATTACAGAGTATTTCTTCACTGAAAGAAGAGCAAAACACTGCTCTGGAGGCTTTTCTCAGAGGAAAAGATGTTTTTGCTCTTCTCCCGACTGGTTTCGGCAAGAGTTTGATCTATCAATTGGCTCCTCTTCGTTGTCGCTCTGTTAGTACGTCATATGCTTCGTTGATCTGATTGGTTTATTTGGCCCGTCTATTACCTACATAGGCCAATCAGCTAACCAGTATTTTCACCCCTTCCCAAAATTACTTCAATGGAAGGTTTCCAGATGGATATGCGGAGCAAATCCATCTGGCGGAGTCAGGTTAAAGAAAGTCTGCCATGGAGTCCAACATTTTTCAAATTTGTCTTGTTCTAGTTTCAGTGCAAAAGTCAGTTCCTCCATCTTGTAAATGTCTTGAATGATACTTATCCAGTCTTTAAGTGTGGGAGTCTTATCGGTCAATCATTTCCGAGTGATTGCTTTTTTGCTGGCAATTAGCATTATGTTGAACATATATATATATATATATTTTATAGAATCCTTTTAGACAGTTTGGACGTTTCCCCAATACCATGGTCTCAAAGTTCAGGGCAAAATTATTCCCAATTACTGTCTCCACACTTTATTAGATTTTTTTCCAGTACGAAAGTAGCTTTGGACAGCTCCATAAGATATGAAAATGGCCAGATTGATTTGACCCACAAAACCTCCAGCATGTTCTATCTGCATTTTTACACCTCTGTTTTGAAGAAGCGTGTAGCAGTCTTCCAAGCAAATTCTCTATACGTTAGTGATGATGTACACTTCCAACAATTATTCAAAATATCTAACCAGTCTTCTATGTGAATTTGGTGTCCCCATTCCTTGTCTCCCCCCCCCCCTAAGTTTTGTAGTTTATTATACATTTTGGATGTTAGTTTATTCACAGGGGTTGACTGATATGATTTTAAAAAGACATTCAAAATGCCAACTATTGTTCTGTCTGGTTGTTGGGTTCAAAAATTTAGGTTCGTAAAAGAAGGACTGAGTTCACACAGAAAGGGATTCTCAACAGCTTCTGCAGAAGGGGAAAGAGCTGCAACCCAACTTTCCAACACTCTCTCCCTCGGACCTCCTCTGCAGAGCGCCTCTATTAACAGAACATAACACATGGTTACAAAACAGAGTATTGTTCTGACAGGACAATTGATCAGGTCATAATACAGGATGCTCCACTGACTGAATCACAAGACAGAGCGGTCTTCTGATTGAATCATAAGACAGAGTGAAGCATCTCATTTCTCCAATGTTTTTTTATGTACATACATTAATTTTATAACCATCATTGAATAAACCTAACACTGGTTCATCTTTATTTGTTTTTCTAAGTAGTGCTGGATTTTTGGATAACGAAAGAAATCTCTATTATCAAGACTATATTTTTGCTTAACATCTTGAAAGGTTCTCAGAAAGACTTTATGATATAAATCATTGTATTTTATTTCCCTTTCTATCCATTTTTATTGTATTGTCTGTTTTATTTGGGGTAAAATCTTTATCATATGCTATCCATCTGATTGGTAAAGACTCTTTATTTATGTTCGGGTTTTTGATGCTTCGCTCTGTTTGTCTGTAGGTGCAGCTCTCCTTCAACACAGACACCCTCTGTTAGAAGCGGACCTCGGGAGCAGAGAGACTGAACCGATCCCACTTTGTTGGACCAATGAGGCCTAGAGAGCGAGCAGAGGGGATCCCTGACCAGAACTCTCCGTCTTGGGGAGCGGTTTGATCCTGAAGCTCTGCAGGCAGAGAGGCAGCCGCAGGATGGACGATCCTTCCATCCAGTTTATCTGAGAATGTATGAGATGCTGCACCTGAAGCAGCGGAGGAACCAGAACCCTTTCCACTAAACTCAGAGAGCATGCAGTCTGATGGGAGATCTCTTCCCCCAGCAGCAGGTTTAGAGAGGAGCTTTCTGGCGTCTGACCCCAGAGGCCATCCGCTCCGCCTGGTCGGCGTCGTCCTTCTATGAACTTGCTCCAACGTCGTGTTTCTTCATTGTCTTTTGTGCTTTAAACTTTTCATCATTTTGTGCACTTGAAGTTTGTTTCTGTAAAGATATGTAGAAAAGTCCAGGAGGAGACGACTCCACCATCACTGTGACACCAAAACCAACCCAGCCCACAGGACTGACCACCAGAACCAACCTGTTTATTATTTAGAAGATCATCAACTAAGGTTTATGTAAATGTTAAAAGAAAACAAGCTTCTGGATATGTGTCGGCATGAAAATGGAATATCTGCTGAGGTTCTGTTGCAATGTGTTTCTTCCTCATCCCCCAGGCGTCGCTAAGCTGGCTGATGATGGTACCGTTAGACTGGATCCTGATTCAGCTTGTTTTAAACCGGTACCAGCTGAGTCTGATGTTCACTTTTTCCTATTAATAAAACAATCAGGAATCAGTGTAGTTCCTGGTTCCCTATGAATGTAAAAATATAACAATATTCCGTTTAAGCAGAACTGAACCTGAATCCAGAAGCTGGGCCCAGAGGCGGTTCTAGACGGGGGGCCAACAGGGGTCTGTGCCCCTATAGAACTAGTCCTGGCCCCTTTTATGGGCCCTGTTCTGAAAACACACACAACGAAACAGATGCAATTGGCAGATGCAATTATTAAAAAAATATACTTTTTAGATCGGTTTTTGCAGTATAACTAAATAAATTTGTGATGATCATATGTGATGAAAGATGAGACTAACTGATTTGTACCTTGGACCAATTGGATATTTTGCCTGGACAGCTTACTTTAACAATTATTTAGAAATTGCAGCTTTAGCTTCACCTGCTCTGAGAAATGATCACAGTTTTTATCTTTTAGATCAAGTGTGCAACCTGAATTTTATGGCTCATTTATAATACTAAAAACTCTCATCCTAGGATTTTTTTTTCTTTAGTTCTATATACCTACCCCGCCCAAAAAAACAACAATGGCCCCATCATGTCCGCTTGATATATTTTGTCTAGAACCACCAATGGCTGGGTCCATCCTCACTGCTGCCATGGCAACCAGCTGAAAGATTCAGGTGTGTTTTAACTCACTGCCATCATCTTTCACCGTAGAGGTCCTGCACAGAACCTGGGTGAAAGGTAAGGATCCGTAGAGATGAGGAGGAGCTGCTTTCAGCGCTTCTGGATTTATCTTCGGTTTCTGTCATCATGCCATCGTCAGGAACCAGAACCAAGCCAAAATAAAGGGGATCAGATCCATTTAGAGACCAGATCATTTCTGTTTAGTCTAAAAAATAAACGTAAGACTTGATCGACTCGGCAGGATCAGTAATTCATGTCACCAGCAGCAGATTTATGCAATCCTTTCAAATCTGGAGTTAACATGACTCAGCAGGTTGTGGTCTGGAGGATGTTTCCATGGCAGCAGCAGCATTATTATTCTACTGTAACGATCCATCTCTTTAGAGATTGACTGGAGGAAACTGTTCTTCTCAGAAATTTTGATTCTTTTTCTTTTGGGTTGTTGTCCTGTTTTCACACCAGTGCATCCATGTACAGACGGCTCAGATGTTCCTAATAAAGCTTTATGTGAGCATAAATTCACCCAGGAAAGAGAGATGGTGGAGTTCCTTTATTTACTAGAATAAAAATGATCTCAGATTTTTTCATATGACACACCCAACAGCTCATCAAGGGGTAAGGAGACAGAAAGGAAGGAAAGAATGAAGGAAACAAGGACACCATGAAGGCTATAAAACAGAGAGTAAAGAAGGAATAAAAAGAAAAGTTACAGGTCACACTGAAGGAAGACTACATTTATCCAAATTTAAAACGCATCCCATCATCAATAAGTATTAAAAACATTTCATCCAGTGAGATTTTAAAAAGTTGCAAAAAATCGATTAAAACATCAATCTTCCTCTTCATCATCGAAGGCCACGCCAGTCGCCTGGATCTTCCTGGAAGAAACAGAAAGCAGAAGCTGCTGATCCAGAGTCAGACGGAGGTCCAGCTGGTACCGGGCTGGGAGGTCCGACTGAGCTTTACCTCTTGGTGCCGGGGTTGATCAGCGAAGCTCCAGGAAGCCTCCTCTTCATCGTCCCGATTGCTGCGCCGCCCTGCTGCCGGCGAGGCTGGAAATCTGCAGCAGAGAGAGGAGCTGAAGGAAGTCCAAACCTGTCAGAACATCTGCAGAACATCCACAGGGACTGTCTCCTTAGACCAGGGGTCACCAACGCGGTGCCCTCAAGGACCACATGGGGGGCCCTCAGAGTCTTCTAAATAAAGACCAACCCACCAGTGGGCTAAGTTTGAAATTTATTTTATTCTGTTGCTCTTCTTTTTAATCATTTATAGAGATTTTAAAAATGACAATGTCTAAATAAACTTGGAAATTAACAGAAACACTGAAAATATGTTGATAATGTACAAAGTTTAGGCTAACGCTAACCCTTGCAGCTCATGGGTCAGTAATGGTCGCCCTTCCTACGTCTCGGTACCCTTGAAGTGGCCCTCAGCCTTAAAAAGGTTGGTGACCCCTGTCTTAGACTATCTGATTATTGTCTGAACATTGGCAGGTTACCATGGAGACACAATCCAACAGAACCAGGTCCATTTTTTATGCTCACACTGAGGAGTGAGAAAATTAGGAATATCCTATACCCAAATGACTCCCAATACCTAAGGGGGGGACCCGTTCGTTTGGTTCAATTTGCATGTTTTCTAAGCCAAAGCAAGGCTTTGTTCTGGGCTACTCCATAAAGCTTGGATCTCAATGCTAATTAAGATCTAATTAAGAAGATGGATCTTCAAACTTGGAAACAAAGTCCAGTGGATTGTTTTTTTTTACTTTTTTGGAATTATAATGACCTGGATGACTGAGAATCTTCACCAGCATCCTGTCCAGGGGTGATGCTGAGAAACTAGTCCATGCATTTGTTACTTCAAGGCTGGACTATTGTAATTCTTTACTATCAGGAAGTCCACAAACTGTAGTTAAAAGCCTTCAGCTGATCCAAAATGCTGCGGCCAGAGTTCTGATGAAAATGAAAAAGAGAGATCATATCTCTCCTATCCTGGCTTCTCTTCATTGGCTTCCTGCTAAATCCAGAATAGAATTTAAAATCCTCCTTCTCACATATAAAGCCTTAAATGGCCATGCTCCATCTGATATCAGAGATCTGATTGTTCCTTATGTTCCTAACAGAGCACTTCGCTCTCAACCTGCAGGTTTACTAGTGGTTCCTAGAATTTCTAAAAGTAGAATGGGAGGCAGATCTTTTAGTTATCAGGCTCCTCTCCTGTGGAACCAACTTCCAGTTTTAGTCTGTGAGGCAGACACCCTGTCTACTTTTAAGGCTAGGCTTAAAACTTTCCTTTTTGATAAAGCTTATAGTTAGAGTGGCTCAGGTTATCCGGAGCTATCTCTATAGTTATGCTGCTATGGGCTTAGACTGCTGGAGGACATAGGGACCCCTTTTTCATCAGCCGAACCAGTGAAGGCCCAAACACCATAAGCAGCTAATCAGTTTAATATAAGAGTTAATTTTTAAACCTATTTTCTTGATTATGACCAATCTAACAGTTTTTCGTGCTGCTTCAGCTTTAAGGACCTCATGCTTTAGCTGTCTGTTTTAGTCACACGGGATTCAGAACTTTAAGGTCCAATAATTCTGAGCCTGAAAGCGGACTGTGTTTCCATCTGAAAGCTCACCTGCTGCACATCGCTGGAGATTCTTCACTGGACTCGGTGCAGGGCTTCCATCTAAAAGGATAAATAACCGCACAGACATCTCAGAAGCACGTCTCCAGAGGGGGTTGGGATCATGGTTTGGATCAGTACCAACAGAACAGAAGGATTTAAAGTGACTGACTGTAATAGAGGACATCTAACCCAATGGATCAGATTGATCTGGCTCAATTTGCCACCTTCAGGTCAACAAAAAAAAAACATCTTTTCAGAATCCTGAATGAATAACCGGGTCATGTCAGAGACACCTTTGGACCAGGTTCTGGAAGAACAGGATCATTATCATCAGTGTTGTATAGTAACGAAGTAAAAATACTTCACTACTGTACTCAACTATATTTGGGAGTACTTTATACTTTCCAAGAGTATACATTTTTTTTGAGAACTTTCCCTTTTACTTCACTACATTTACGAACTTAATTGCATACTTTTACTCCGATACATTTTCAATGTTTGGTTTAGTTACTAAGTAAAAAAAAAAAAAAAAAAAAAAAACGAATGAGAGAGCGAGAGAAACGCAATTGATTTGACCTCAACTACTGACTACAAAGTCTGGTCTTGCCTGGGCTTGTTCATCAACACCAATAGGATATAGATTGGTCATGAGGCACTATTGCGAAATCTTGAGCATAACGTTATCTGTATAAATTAACTTTGTTTGGCATTGTTTTCAGTTCCACACGTGGCGTATTTAGCTTAAGCTAAATGTTGACTGTAGCAAGCTTTTGAAGATGAACAGAAGATTTTACAGTTTTAAGTGATAATGGGGTTATAATGCGAGGATGACCACAAGGGGTGGTTAAGATTTGGAGGGGAAGAAAAAGTCAAGGACAAAGATTTAGTTAATTGGCCTGTAGTGCATCTTTTTTTCTCTGGTGTGATGTACACCTAATTTCAGCACTGCCTTTTTTTACGTTTTAAGGTAAGTTTTACAGAAAATGTCTTCCTCTTCAGATGCCAAATAAGCTGCAGTTCCCTCCCATTTATTTTTCTTTTGTAAAATGAAATGTTATGTTTGCGCCTTTTGTTTGTGAAGTACAGTCATTTACAGCTTTTTTTTTTTTTATGTTGGCCGCGTTTACAAGAGGGGCTTCAAGCTGGGCTCCCTCTTCAGATGCCAGATAAGCTTCTGTTTTTTCTTTGTAATAATGTCAATAACAGTAGCAGTAATAAAACTTGGTTTAAATTGATGCTTCACTTGGTTGTTTATATTATTTTAAGTGAATTTACCCTTCAAAGTTGACCAAAATGTGAAAAAAAAATCATTCAAACTGCACCAGTTTTTACTTATACTTTTCACTACATTACTTGAGTACATCTATTTTTACAGTAATTCTTATACTTAAGTACAAGCCGTTTAAGATACTTTAAGACTTTTACTCAAGTAACACTTCAGTCAGTGACTTGGACTTTTACCAAAGTCATATTTTGGAGAGGTACTTATACTTTTATTGACTCCGAGATCTTAGTACTTTATACAACACTGATTATCATAATAAAGCCCATCAGATATCCTGATCCGATTTTATCCATAAGGACCATCCCCAATTTTGGGCCCCGTACCATTAAAAAAAGCAGCAGAACTCTCGGCTGTTTTTGGTCCTGCACATTGCAGACAACTGGATCCAAAAGCAGAATCACAGAGGGATATATTTCTTTTATCACGGTTCTACTTTTTATTCTTATAGCAGGAACCACATTGGATGAGGGAACCACTAGAGGGCGTCAGACTATGGAAACAGAAACTGAGCTCCATAAGAAAACCATTAAAGAGTGAAGGAAGAGAACAAACGGACCTCCAAGCTGAGTGAGCCGGTCCGCCATGATGAAGAGCAGCTCCTTCAGCTCCTCTGTGGCCCCAGGGGCCTCCATCCTGCTGAGGGTCACCTTCAGACCAGTTGGCCCCGAGCCCAGGAGAAGATCAGCTGTGCTGTTCTGGACCACAACACTTACATCCCCACCGAGGCAGCAGGACCTGTGGGACACCCAGAGACAGGAGAGGTCCACTGATCATCAGGAGGCCTTTATATTCAAAATAATATAAATTATTTAAAAAAAATATTACATCAAATAAATAAATGTATTTACTTCAAGATTTATTACTTTAAGGATTTCTTTAGTTCAAATAAATCTAAGATTTATCTGTCTGCATTAAAATGTATTATATTTCACTATAAGATGTATTTGGTGCAAAATATAAATATTTAGTTCAAATAATTGAGATATATTTTATGGTTTGCTCCTGTATAATCTGTGAAAAATCACAGATTATACAGGATTATACATAATCAGCTCCAGCTGTTCTGACCCGATCCAAGAAATCAATCGTTCTTTTGTCGACTTTTGTCAACAACTCTGAAGTTTCATTGGGTTTATAAAAACATTCCTTTAGATATTTCTATTCCATTAACAAAAAAAAATCTGCTTTGAAACATTAATCTGTTGCAACAAGAGTTGAAGCTGATGTCACACATCTAATTTCTTATCTATCATATTAAAATTCACTGCTTATTAGCAGAGGTGTCAAAGATATTAATGTTTATTACTCAAGTAGAAATCCTACTGTTTAACAACCTTTTGTATTAGTTAAAATGTCAATTTTAGCTTTTTACTCCAGTAAAAGTGTAAAAGCACCATTTTTAAAACTATTTAAAGTATAAAAGTAAATGCAATGCAGGAGAAAATGTTAAGGACAGAAGCTTTACTGCTCTACCCTATTAAAAGAACATTTTTCTACCATTCTGGATTATAACTTCTTTAGACTTAAGTTTCTTAGTTCTATAACTAATGGTAACAGTGTCACATTTAACTTTGCATCATCTTGAAAACCTTTATTTTGGTTTGTGGTGAGCAACAAGTTGGGGCAGCACCGAGTCCAAACACAAAGACATTAATTGTCTGAATGAAACTAATTATTTTGATGGTTTTTATAGAATGTAAATAAGCTTTACTGAAACAAAACCAAGTCTATTTTTAAAATATAAGGAGTAGAAAGTAGAGCTAATTATAAAAAATGTAAAGACTAGAAGTACAACTTTGTCTGAAATATAATGAATCCAGTAAAATTCAGCCCAAATTTCTACTAAAGTAAGGAAAAGTATTTGTAGTTTTTTACTTGACAGCTTTGGTTATTATATGAATAAATCAATGAATGTTAAAGAGTTTAGCCTTCATCTCAAAAACACATTAAACTTTCAGTTTCTCAAAGATCTTAAATTGTTTGCTTCAGGTGTTGATAGAAGATTCTCACCTGAACTTCATGAGGAAATCCTCTGAGGAGCTCAGCTGCAGCCCGTTTCCCTGCAGGAGGAGAGGAGTCAGACAGGAGCAGAGGAGGAGGACAGGAGAAGCTGTTTGACAGGAGGAGGACAGGAGGAGCTGATTGACAGAGAGGAGGACAGGAGCAGATGAGGAGGACAGGAGAAGAGGAAAAGGACAGGAGGAGCTGATTGACAGAGAGGACAACAGGAGCAGAGGAGTCAGACAGGAGGAGGAGGACAGGAGGAGCTGATTGACAGGGAGGAGGACAGGAGCAGAGGAGGAGGACTGGAGGAGCTAATTGACAATGAGGAGGACAGGAGCAGATGAGGAGGACAGGAGAAGAGGAAAAGGACAGGAGGAGCTGATTGACAGTGAGGAGGACAGGAGCAGAGGAGTCAGACAGGAGGAGGAGGACAGGAGGAGCTGATTGACAGGGAGGAGGACAGGAGCAGAGGAGGAGGACTGGAGGAGCTAATTGACAATGAGGAGGACAGGTGCAGAGGAGGAGTTGATTGACAGAGAGGACAACAGGAGCAGAGGAGGAGGACAGGAGGAGCTAATTGACAGTGAGGAGGACAGGAGCAGAGGAGGAGGACAGGAGGAGTTGATTGACAGAGAGTCAGACAGGAGGAGGAGGACAGGATGAGATGATTGACAGGGAGGAGGAGAGGAGCAGAGGAGGAGGACTGTAGGAGCTAATTGACAATGAGGAGGACAGGTGCAGAGGAGGAGGACTGGAGGAGCTGATTGACAGAGAGGACAACAGGAGCAGAGGAGGAGGACAGGAGGAGCTAATTGACAGTGAGGAGGACAGGAGAAGAGGAAAAGGACAGGAGGAGCTGATTGACAGAGAGGACAACAGGAGCAGAGGAAGCAGACAGGAGGAGGAGGACAGGAGGAGCTGATTGACAGGGAGGAGGACAGGAGCAGATGAGGAGGACAGGAGAAGAGGAAAAGGACAGGAGGAGCTGATTGACAGAGAGGACAACAGGAGCAGAGGAGTCAGACAGGAGGAGGAGGACAGGAGGAGCTGATTGACAGGGAGGAGGACAGGAGCAGAGGAGGAGGACTGGAGGAGCTAATTGACAATGAGGAGGACAGGAGCAGATGAGGAGGACAGGAGAAGAGGAAAAGGACAGGAGGAGCTGATTGACAGTGAGGAGGACAGGAGCAGAGGAGTCCGACAGGAGGAGGAGGACAGGAGGAGCTGATTGACAGGGAGGAGGACAGGAGCAGAGGAGGAGGACTGGAGGAGCTAATTGACAATGAGGAGGACAGGTGCAGAGGAGGAGTTGATTGACAGAGAGGACAACAGGAGCAGAGGAGGAGGACAGGAGGAGCTAATTGACAGTGAGGAGGACAGGAGCAGAGGAGGAGGACAGGAGGAGTTGATTGACAGAGAGTCAGACAGGAGGAGGAGGACAGGATGAGATGATTGACAGGGAGGAGGAGAGGAGCAGAGGAGGAGGACTGTAGGAGCTAATTGACAATGAGGAGGACAGGTGCAGAGGAGGAGGACTGGAGGAGCTGATTGACAGAGAGGACAACAGGAGCAGAGGAGGAGGACAGGAGGAGCTAATTGACAGTGAGGAGGACAGGAGAAGAGGAAAAGGACAGGAGGAGCTGATTGACAGAGAGGACAACAGGAGCAGAGGAAGCAGACAGGAGGAGGAGGACAGGAGGAGCTGATTGACAGGGAGGAGGACAGGAGCAGAGGAGGAGGACTGGAGGAGCTGTTTGACAGGAGGAGGACAGGAGGAGCTGATTGACAGAGAGGAGGACAGGAGCAGATGAGGAGGACAGGAGAAGAGGAAAAGGACAGGAGGAGCTGATTGACAGGGAGGAGGACAGGAGCAGAGGAGGAGGACAGGAGAAGAGGAAAAGGACAGGAGGAGCTGATTGACAGAGAGGACAACAGGAGCAGAGGAGTCAGACAGGAGGAGGAGGACAGGAGGAGCTGATTGACAGGGAGGAGGACAGGAGCAGAGGAGGAGGACTGGAGAAGAGGAAAAGGACAGGAGGAGCTGATTGACAGAGAGGACAACAGGAGCAGAGGAGTCAGACAGGAGGAGGAGGACTGGAGGAGCTAATTGACAATGAGGAGGACAGGTACAGAGGAGGAGTTGATTGACAGAGAGGACAACAGGAGCAGAAGAGGAGGATAGGAGGAGCTAATTGACAGTGAGGAGGACAGGAGCAGAGGAGGAGGACAGGAGGAGTTGATTGACAGAGAGTCAGACAGGAGGAGGAGGACAGGATGAGATGATTGACAGGGAGGAGGACAGGAGCAGATGAGGAGGACAGGAGAAGAGGAAAAGGACAGGAGGAGCTGATTGACAGAGAGGACAACAGGAGCAGAGGAGGAGGACAGGAGGAGCTAATTGACAGTGAGGAGGACAGGAGCAGAGGAGGAGGACAGGAGGAGTTGATTGACAGAGAGTCAGACAGGAGGAGGAGGACAGGATGAGATGATTGACAGGGAGGAGGACAGGAGCAGATGAGGAGGACAGGAGAAGAGGAAAAGGACAGGAGGAGCTGATTGACAGAGAGGACAACAGGAGCAGAGGAAGCAGACAGGAGGAGGAGGACAGGAGGAGCTGATTGACAGGGAGGAGGACAGGAGCAGAGGAGGAGGACAGGAGGAGTTGATTGACAGAGAGTCAGACAGGAGGAGGAGGACAGGAGCAGAGGAGGAGGACTGGAGGAGCTAATTGACAATGAGGAGGACAGGAGCAGAGGAGGAGGACAGGAGGAGTTGATTGACAGAGAGTCAGACAGGAGGAGGAGGACAGGAGCAGAGGAGGAGGACTGGAGGAGCTAATTGACAATGAGGAGGACAGGAGCAGAGGAGGAGGACAGGAGGAGTTGATTGACAGAGAGTCAGACAGGAGGAGGAGGACAGGAGCAGAGGAGGAGGACTGGAGGAGCTAATTGACAATGAGGAGGACAGGTGCAGAGGAGGAGTTGATTGACAGAGAGGACAACAGGAGCAGAAGAGGTGGACAGGAGGAACTAATTGACAATGAGGAGGACAGGTGCAGAGGAGGAGCTAATTGACAGAGAGGACAACAGGAGCAGAGGAGGAGGACAGGAGGAGCTAATTGACAGTGAGGAGGACAGGAGCAGAGGAGGAGGACAGGAGGAGTTGATTGACAGAGAGTCAGACAGGAGGAGGAGGACAGGATGAGATGATTGACAGGGAGGAGGACCGGAGGAGCTGATTGACAGAGAGGAGGACAGGAGGAGAAGGACAGGAGGAGATGATTGACAGAGAGGAGGACAGGAGGAGCTGATTGACAGAGAGGAGGACAGGAGGAGAAGGACAGGAGGAGATGATTGACAGAGAGGAGGACAGGATGAGATGATTGACAGAGAGGAGGACAGGATGAGATGATTGACAGGGAGGAGGACAGGAGGAGCTGATTGACAGAGAGGAGGACGGGATGAGAAGGACAGGAGGAGATGATTGACAGAGAGGAGGACAGGATGAGATGATTGACAGAGAGGAGGACAGGATGAGATGATTGACAGGGAGGAGGACAGGAGGAGCTGATTGACAGAGAGGAGGACGGGATGAGAAGGACAGGAGGAGATGATTGACAGAGAGGAGGACAGGAGGAGCTGATTGACAGAGAGGAGGACAGGAGCAGAGGAGTCAGACAGGAGGGGCTGATTGACAGAGAGGAGGACAGGAGCAGAGGAGTTAGACAGGAGGAGCTAATTGACAGAGAGGAGGACAGGAGCAGAGGAGGAGGACAGGAGCAGAGGAGGAAAACAGGAGGACAGGAGGAGCTAATTGACAGAGAGGACAACAGGAGCAGAGGAGGTGGACAGGAGGACAGGAGGAGCTAATTGATAGAGAGGACAACAGGAGCAGAGGAGGAAAACAGGAGGACAGGAGGAGCTAATTGACAGAGAGGACAACAGGAGCAGAGGAGGAAAACAGGAGGACAGGAGGAGCTAATTGATAGTGAGGAGGACAGGAGGAGTTGATTGACAGAGAGGGGGACAGGAGCAGAGGAGGAGCTGATTGACAGAGAGGAGGACGGGAGCAGAGGAGGAGAACAGGAGGAGCTAATTGAGAGAGAGGACAACAGTGGCAGAGGAGGAGGACAGGAGGAGAAGAACTCACCAGTAGCTTCAAGATGTCCTCACAGCAGTCTGAGCTCCAAACAGCTGCTGCATCTGTCACCCTGCATGAGACCATCATCATCATCATCATCATCACCCCCCCCCCCCCCCCCCCCCCTCTACCCAGGTCAGATGATCTGGACTCACCGTATCCGGAGTCCTCCTCCGTCCCTCCGGGTGTAGCAGACATATCTGCTCCTGCTCCTCCTGTCCTCCACGGTGCAGAAGCAGCTGTCCTCCTTCTCCATGACTCCTCCTGCTTTAGCTCAGCATCACCTCTGAACCAAACAGCTCCTCTAAACTGCAGCGATCATTCATAGATCGCTGGTTTGTCTGTTTGGTCGCGTGAACCGGAAGTCTGTCTCCTGCGCATGCGCCGTTCATTTAAAAACAAAACGTTTTTATTAGTTTATTCATCTTAAAGACTTCTGCGCCGTTCAATATAGATTAGGTTTAAAATATAAATAAACAATAACATAACATAAAAACGAAAGAAACACGAGTTAAAACATGAACTTATTTGTTTCTAAGGCATACATGAGGGTTGCATAGTTTCAAAGGTCAAAACAATAAAAACACACCCATTTTTTTATATAAATATTTAGGCCTATATATATATATATATATATATATATATATATATATATATATATATATATATATATATATATATATATACATATATTATAAAAAGACTTTTTTCGATTCTTTTTTTGTTATATCTTCCATATTAAAGCAACATTAACCGGTTATAATCTGAGATCATGTCTCTAAATTTTTATTATCCGTCACCAATTAAAGAGAATAAAATGTTTCTCTGTTTCTTTGTCTGCTGCAAAGGTTACATTCATTCACTACAATAATAAATCACCACATAAAATTACCACAAAGATCAATATTGCGGTTCGGGAAAAAAAAGAGTTTTAAATAAGAATTTTAAGACAATCTAAAAGAGTTTATACCGCCACCTGTCGCATGAACTACATGGTAGGACAACAGATAAAAAAAGGAAATTTAAATCCCTTTATTGTCCCACAGTGGGGACATTCACTCTGCATTTAACCCATCCCCTTGGCTCCCCAAGGGGATGGGTTAAATGTGGGGTTAAGGGTCTTGCTCAGGGACCCAGTGGGAGGCAGTGGGGATTGAACCGAGAACTTGGAACCTTCTCAGAGCATTTTTCCTTTTGAAAACTCGTAACAAGCCAAGTTTTATATAATCCTGGCTGATGCTGATTAATATTTAGATTAGCTGCTCTCTTCTTGTTCTTCACTTGGTACTTAAATTTTAATTGACTTATGATTTTTTTAATTATTTCTTTATTTATAATCTGCTGTCTATCTTTGTTTTATATACTTATGTATTTTCATATCAAGACAAATAGAACTGGATTGAACTTGATGTAACTGGAGGATGAACAAAGCTGGAGGGGTAAATACCAAACAGTTACAGAAGAAGAGGCCTCATTTCCTGAGATCAACAGAAAAAAAAAACATCTCCAACAAAAGCTGCTTTTACTCCTCCTCTACTTTCTCAGAGAGGAAGGACCTCTGGAGTTTTAACATCTCCAGAGAAGCTGATTGGCTCTTTTCCTGGTGAAGCTTTACAGTCCTGTCATTCAAAAAAAGTAAAAAAAAACAAACAAAAAAAACAAAAACAAAAAACAATCTACTGGAGTTTGTTTCAAAATGTCAGAATAGAGTTGAGTTCGAACCCAACACTAATCTAGACATTTTGAATTAAAAAAAACTGCATGGGAAGCAAAACATCTTCAAACTTGGAAAGCAAGTCCATTGGATTGTTGTTTTTGAACCATTTTGGAATGACTATGACTTGGATGATTGAGAATCTTCACCAGTCTACAGCTCCTGGTGCATGACTAAAGTACCACCAAGATGCTAATCTGTGTTGTGCAGCTCTATAATGAAAACACCATAAAAAGGAGAAGTGAAAGTGAGCTTCCTATCAAGCGTGACGAGTATGAACATAGACTCTGTAGAAGGAAATGTTTTGTTCAACATAATATGTAATTAACTGCCCACAATGATCAAATTTCAGATGAAAGCTCCTGAAAATCATAGTTTGGATTTATAATTTTATCATTTCAACTGAAATGAATTTCTAAAAATTCAGAATTAGGCCTAAATCATTAAAGCTATGTTTGATATACATCAATATGTTTCCTTTGAGTGGCTCTAATATTAATATTTTGGACTGGTCCACTCAGAGCAAAGGCTTAAATCCTGACAGAGAACCTGTGGATGAAGATAAAGATTAGGGTGATAGCACAGAGGCCTTCAAACTTTACATGTCTAAAACCGATCACCAGAAGCAATTTCTCAAAGCAACACCCAGAAGAAAATAAAACACTTTTTTTTTTCTGGAGATAAAGGAGTATTGCAAATCAATTTTGAAGCAAAAACATTTTAATTGAAGCAGTTTCTCTCAGTCGACAAATTGGTGCGATGTTGCCCCCTGCTGGCGCTACTATGGAAATAACAGCACACCTAATAGATTTAGGCTACAGTGCATCATCTAAAGATAACCTGAGAACAGATACAGCATTTTTTATTTAAAATAAAGATTCATCTGTTTTATTTGATTTAAAAAAGCATTATCAAAAAACTATTTGGACCAAAATGGATATAAAAACAACAAGTCAACAAAGTGGAACCAGAAAACAAATGATATCTGTCCCATTGAGTCACTGAGTATGCTGCTGGATCCACCTGCAGAACCTCTGGGAGTACTTTACAGGACTGACAGTAGAAAAATCTCTGCCAGGGAAGCGAAGGTTCTTCCACAGATTCTCCAGTCTTTTCCTCAGACTGTAAACGGTGAAAATGTCCACTATGCCCACAAAGTAGCGGCGGTCTGCTCCGTCTATCACATGAATCGCATTCTTGAAGTTTGGCAACAGTCTTCGATTATGTTCGTGGAATTCCTTTAGCTCTGCATCACACATCGTCTCCTGGGTCGGTTCAGGGCCCTCAGACCCACAGCCAGCACCATCCTGAACATCTTCACTCCGACTGTGCAGTAAGGGAACATGGCAGGGATCTGGGTCTGTGGGACGGTCATCCAGGTCCAAAGATCTACAGGAGGTGAAGAAGAAGAAAACAGTCCAGGAAGAGGTTGTTATGGTGAAGAGGTGTTTCTGATTGGATTTGATCAACACACCCAGGTGGCCCTGACCCGATAAACCTGATTCTCATGGATTTCTTCACAACAGACTAACAGCCATTCGGTTACAGGCTGCTTTGTTTTGATTGTTGGCTGGATTCACTATATGGATGATTTTTTGGTTTTAATGAGTGGAAAGTTTGGAGGTTAGGACGAGAACTACTCTGAGAGGACTGATGGGGGTCAGTTCTAGTGTTCATTTAGCTGCAGATGTGAATGAAATTCTCTAACTAAAACCTCCTTGTTATTTGGAGTTAGGGTGACCAGATCTAAAATCAATTACAATGATGCTCATGACGGAGGATGTGTTTTTTTTAGCCATGCATTTCTTTTGTACGTCACTTTTACAGTATTGCTAGTCACCATAACTTGATGAACCATAAACCTATGCAGTAGCAGCCATTCAAAATGGCCCTTACCAGTCAAACAGCATCCGAATGGCGGCGCACTTCCCTGCAACTCCCAGTAAAATCCCCTCCAACTTCCAGCCACTTGAGTGACCCTCTCTTGCATATTTTTTCACTCTGACTCCACCCTTTCACTGAATTACAGGGTCTGACCAGGAGATAACGCTTCTCTTTTGATTTTAATGTCCACAAATTACGACAGAAAGAATATTTTAGTACAAATACTGATGTTTAAAAAGTAATTATAGGGGGATCAGCCAAGGACCCATCAAGGACAGCGGAGAAATTCTGAATGGCTACTACTGTATAAGACAAAGCCCTGGTGCCCAAACCCCCAACTCCTTATATCTGCTTCCAGCTGTAGGCGGTAAGGTGACCCAGATCTAGCCCTCGCTGTCTGTCAACATAATGAAAAACCTATTTTACTGTACACTTTCTCCATCATATTATATTTAATTTACACAGTATTGCCCTGTGTGTCCTCATGAAAAGCCATCATGTGAAACTATACTGTGCTTCCCTTTAAATTTTTAGTAATAAGTCACAGATTGCTGATAATATTTAATGTTTGTTAGTTTGAAAGTGTCAGTGAGGGGGATAATTTTATTTTTGTACAAAAAATTAAAATAGTTTTCCAGCTGATTTACAAACTTTAAACTAATCTCATGAAATAAATTGAACTTCACTGTATTGTTTGATAACTAGGATTAAACTGGGATACATGTAACTGGATTCTGTATGACTCAATGGAGGAAACTAAAGGTCAAACTTTCCTTTTAACCTTTAAAGGGTTTTACAAATTCCAATAAACCTACTTTGTGGTTCGGAGGATGAGGTCGGCGAAGGAATGCTTGCCGTCCAGCTCATCCTGATGCAGAGGTTGGTGGGCCAACAGGAGGCTGTAGTCCAGCACGTTCAGCTCTTGGAGAAAAGCTGCATCAGCTTTGACTTGTCTGGCAAACCAGGACTTTTCTGGTCCTACAGCCACCAAAAACAAAGTTCACCTTTGCATATGTTTAGTTATCATTCCCGCCCACCAACTGCAAACAATAAATCCGAGGCTTAAAGTATTTCCAGGCTTCTTAAGCAGCTTGTCTTATATTTAGCTGAATGTGATAAAGAGACTCACATTAGGATCAAACTTCATCTCACAACAAAATGAAATTAGTTCATTTCAGATTTCTGTTTAACTTGCAGACTTTGTGATGAAATAAGCTGAGTAAGAAGCACTCACCTAAAGCAATGCTCTGTCCTCTGAAGTTGTTGTCCTTTAGCACCTTTATGATTTGCTCTCCTCCTGCCTCAGGGTCCGTCCACCTCCCAACCTCACAGCCTTTGATGTCGTACCTGTAAAACCCAAACATCCCTGAAACCGCATGAATCAACACTTAGACATGACGAGGGAAAGCTGCAGGCTGTACCTTATGTTGATCCTTTCATCAGGGTAGAATACACTCTGCATCACGATGAAGTACTTCTGGGAAGGAAGCAAATACAATGAGAATCGCGGTGGTTCATAGACACACATCATTCTAATAAAAGACCATACCTTCAGTTGATTTGGAACAACAATCTGGTGGACCCCTGAAAAAAACAACAACCAACATGTGAGGATTATTCTGGCGAAAGTTTAAGCTTTAATGGAGGACAAATTACAACAGTATAATGGCTAAAAGCAAAGCAAAAGCAGCATCTAACTGAAAATGAGACTAATGGAGACATTAAGCCTGATTCTTCACCCTAAACTGATGTTCAGCAGTAACACAGGAGCATTCTGTGTTCTACTATGAAGGTGAAGATGATATAGTTATGCTGCTGTAGGTTTAGACTTCTGGAAGACATAGGGACCCCTATTTCATCATTCTATCTCTATTCCCCCTTTCTAGAGAATGTGTTAGTTCAATCTCTAACGTTCTGCTCTCTCTGCTTTTTCTCATAGTAGCTTCATCTGATCTGTAGCTGTTTGGCTGTGACTCCATCCTGGAGAGAAATATCAGCTGTGCTGCTACCATCAACACCTTTGTTTATAGATGCTGGAGATGGGCCTGTTTTTCAGTGTAGTCCTGTTTCTCTGACTGTGTCTGGCTTGATGTGCTCCCTTCATGCTCTGACATGGGAGCTGGCTCAAAGCTTGTCTGCCTGGCTGTTTGTTTCCTGGACGGGGCCGCCTTTTACAGTCGCCTTTTGTATCTCTGCTTCTGTCTCCTTGAACCCCAGTCAGCCTCAGCAGATGGCCGCTCACACAGAGCCTGCTTCTGCTGGAGGTTTTATCCTGTTAAAAGAGAGTTTTTCCTCTCCACTGTTGCTACAAGCATGCTTAGGGATTGCATTTGAGTCGATGCAATCAACTGGTTTTCCTTAGATAGAAAACTTTGAATCAAATTGACTGTATGATCTGGTGAACTGGAAAGTGCCTCGAGATGACATGTATTGCGAATTGGTGCTATATAGATGAACTGAATTGAATTGAATGAAGAGAAAAAGTGAAGATGTACTCGTACCCAGAAACCGCACCATCAGTGAATGAGGGTATTTCTCCAGGTGCTCCATGTACGCCGGCAGGTTAGACAGTAGGAACCTGATCTCTCGCTCGTTCTGGGTCTTCAGGAAAAACCTTTTATCATTTCTATCAATGACATGAAGCACAAATAACTAAGAGTTTATATATAAAAAGCTGTCAACAAATGATCACCAATGTTTTTGTCTCTTCCTCTTACTTTCTTATGTCATTCTATGTTTAATATTTTCTTTACAAACATTAGTGACCAAAAACATTCACAGTCATCAGAACAATGGGATCCAGAGAAGTCCTGAGGGCAGATGCTGATCATCAGCTCATGGTCAAAAAATGCCAAAAGGTTGGACTCAAAGGTACCTTCAACTTTCACATTATGACAGGACTCTTCTTCTGGGTTTTAGTTGCTACTTTGGTTGTTTTTCCTAAAATCTCTCTCAGATGGAAGGCATTAATATCTCCATTAAATCGGTGGATCCGTTTGCAATGGTATACAGTACCACTAGGCCATACACCATCATTGTATTGGAACTTTTTTATAGCCGGTCCCAATCTCTCCACAGTTTACAGATTTTAGTATAATGTATTAAAACATAACGGAATGTAGCTGATTTTCGGTATAAAAATATAGCACCAGGTTAAACCAGTTGATTCTAAATGCTTGCCATACATTTATGTGGCTGATAAGTGAGGAGTCGAGGAGTAAAAGATTCTTGTCTGTAATGTTAACCAGGCTCCAAAAGGTATCTGGAGCAGAGTTGAATGATAACAGCAGAGCTCTGAGCACTCCTTCACTACCAAAGGAAACGGAGGTTGGACTCTGAAAATATTAACCTGATTCCAACCCTATAAAATGCTTGTTGAATGTACAGAGGAAAGGTAAAAACCGTTAAATTATCTCTGTGTCATCTAGTCTGGTCTGTCAGGCTCTCAGCATTAATATTGTACAGTGCCACCAGCTGGAAATAAGCCGAAATACAATATTTATTAGTTTGTTTCTCTTTATTTCCAAAATATCTTCTCAATATTAATTCTTGAAAACAGCAGCACTAGATAAATAGAAAAAAATGCTAATTTTGCACCAACACTGTGCAATAGACTGGTGACCTTTCCAGGCTTTACTATGCCTTTCGCACATAGACAGCAGGGGATAGTCACTAGCACTCCTCACGACCCCAGCAGAGATAAAGTGTTACAGAATATTGATGGATGGATGGATGGATGGATGGATGGATGGATGGATGGATGGATGGATGGATGGATGGATGGATGGATGGATGGATGGATGGATGGATGGATGGATGGATGGATGGATGGAACCAACAATGGTGCAATTACTTCCACAAAAGAAGTGTGGAAGTAACTATTTATTTAGTGGAAAAAAATATTTTAAAAGAGGATTGAACTGAATTTTAATATTTTAAATTCCCTAAGGTTAACACTGTGACTGGCAGCTCATGTAGTTTGTATGAATCTTTAAGTAGATATGTATAAAAAAATTGCCTTTGTTTCTGTCATGTGTGTAAAACTTTAGGGGAAAACCAGCAGTTACTTTTTTCTCTTAAACCACTGCTTTACCGGATTCATTTTTAATTAAATAATCTTTTTTCAACCATAAAAGAAATTACATGGCTAATTAAAACATAAAATCTGCTTTCATATGCTCTTTCTGAAAAAAGAATAAAAATAAAAATGAGGTCACTATGGCAAAACCAGGATCTAATGTGCCTTGAAGAGGCTTTGCAGCACAGATGTTAGACTCTCATTTGGCTCGGTAAATCTGCTTTTTTGTTCCTAGATCACAAAAGCGAAACTGTTAAAGTGAAGCAGAGAGACGTTTGATCAAAATCTTGAAAATATATTGGGGTTTTGTGTCCGTGCTTAACATCACAATCAGAGTCTGGAGATGGAAGCTTCTAGATGTCCTAAAGCACAGATGAAGTCATTTTCTCTCTTATCTCTTACAATGAGATGTGAGTTCTAACCAAATCTTTGCTCAGCTGATGGCTGCACCCCTTCTGTGACTGTTGCATCTGCAGGGCAGAACTTTTTCATTCAAACGTAAGAAGAACAAACAATCAGTGAGAAAGTGTCAGTCAGATCTCTTACAGTGATGCCATCAGTGACTTTGCAAACGGTATTGAACAAAAGTGAGACAGAAAAAGTCATATGTGTGGATAAAAGTAGATTATGTTTTTAAATAGAGGTTTTAAATATAGAAACAGATATTTACATAGTTTTTAGGAAATGATTATTGACTTTAAATTTAATTTCCATTTATTTCTCAATTAAAAATAATTTTATTTCCATTTTCATAATGCTTGATGTTTCATTGTTTGATTTAATTATGTTCTGTTTTATCTGTTTTTCAGTGATCAAAGCCATTGTATATGTTTGTCAAAGTTTTATATATGAGTTTATAGTAATTTTGTGAATTAGCAATCGTCTGACTCTCGATTGCAGGAATCTGTATAATTGGCAGAAGAGAGGCCCCCCAAATTAGTTAGATTGATTGACTGATTGACTTTATTGATCTCACTGTGGAGAAATTTACTTGTTACATCAGATCAGATAGTCAAAGGAGAAGAAGAAGGTGCCAAAGGAAGAAAAACATGCGTGGAATATATACAGTATATACAACACATCCACATATAACAGCTTTTTTTTTTTTGAATGGAGGCTTGGGTTGGCCCTGGTTGCATATCATAACATCTGTAAAATCTTTGCAGATGCATTGATCAAAAAGCAGTTTTAATTATCTATTTTATTAAAAGAATGCAATAACCAGAAAAATATGGAGGAATATATTATTATAAAATCATAAGCTGAAAGAATTACCGGACTACTCCAACAAGTGGCTAATCTGAGTTGGACAGTTCTTTAATGATAATAACATCATTAAAGAAAATCTTAACATCTTTAACATCTTAAAAAATCAATTTCCAGGATTAAAGGACTAATGTCTCAGCATGATCTGGAAAAACTAATCCATGCGTTTATTTTTAGTCGAATTGATTACTGCAACGGTGTTTTCACAGGTCTGCCTAAAAAGTGGATCAGACAGCTGCAGCTGATCCAGAACGCTGCTGCCCGTGTCCTCACTAAGACTAAGAAAGTAGAGCACATCACCCCAGTTCTAAAGTCTTTACACTGGCTCCCTGTATCTCAGAGAATAGACTTTAAAATCCTTCTGTTAGTCTATAAATCTCTGAATGGCTTAGCACCTAAATACATCACAGACTTGCTATCAGTGTATCAACCCTCCAGACCACTCAGGTCTTCTGGCTCCAGCCTGCTCTGCACCTAGAACCAGAACTAAGCATGGAGAAGCAGCATTTAGTTCCTATGCTCCACTTATCTGGAAAAAACTTCCAGAAAACTGTAAAAGTGCGGAAAGCCTGAGTTCCTTTAAATCAAGACTAAAACACATTTGTTTAGGATTGCCTTCGACTGTTCTAGTTAAACAATTCAACAAAAACATGTTTTCTTTAATCCAACTGTTTTTAATATTCTTTTTTTGTTTCTGCATTTTTTATTTTATTTATGTTTTATTTTTCCCTACTTGCTTTGATTCTGTTTTATCTTCCTGTATTATAATCATGTAAAGCACTTTGCATTGTCTTTGTACTGAATTGTGCTATACAAATAAATTTGCCTTTCCTTGCCTTGCCTAAAAAAGTGCATGAGGAGAAGGAACACATAGAATTAGTAGAAGAAGGAAATGTTTTGTTTAACAGACCCAGCAGGTGGCAGGTCAAGAAGAGAGAAACAACAAATAAAGGAAGCTTTAATCTGTACCAATAAGTGAAGATGTAGATGCTACTTACGTGAGGAAGAAATCCGCCTTGCTTTTGGAGTTACTTATAAACTGAAGGTAGTTGGCGTCGGAGCAGAGGGAGTCCAGAAATTCCTGCTCACTAATGTCCAGTGAACGCCTCAGTGCAGAGAACACCGTTGCTGCAAACGCATGCATCTCAAACCCCTGGTGGAAAAACTGATTTTCATTTTGTTTTTTCCTCCAAAATCATTTGGATGTAGAATCCAACTAAATGCTGAACCTTTAAGTTAGAATGATCTCCTACCTTACATTGTTGAACGTCCTCAGTCTTGAAATGTGCATCTGTGAGTGAATCCTGTGCAAAAAAGCTTTAATGTTCATGACTGACACGATGACATGATGACTAGAGTGTGATTCCAATAATTCAGTACTCATGCTTCTTACCTGCTCCTCTGTGTTCTGGATGCAGGCCTGCAGGCCTTCCTTCATCATGGAGGTCAGAGAGTAGAACTCATGTTTGCTGTCGATTTCAAAAACTCCCACCATCCTCCACCTCTGACTGAGCTGCCACCATCGCGCTCGCCGGGCAGCTCTGGGTCTGCCTGCGGAGTCGTCCCCTGCCATCTGTGACGACAGTGTGCAAACATGACTGTAAGGGTGGACTGATGGGTGGTGGGCTACACCAGAAAGCTGTGAAACCGGCAGATCCAATCCAAGTCTCTTCTACCTAAAGAATAAACTATAACAGGTTGTCAGCTTGACCAGCGGAGGCCAAATATTTAATTGAGAGGCAAGACTAAGCTGACATTTGGGTGGCTTAATTGACTTCAGCTTGTAAACACCAACTCAAGCTCAATTCAGGTGACATGAAGTAAGGAACTACGAAAAGGCATTATCAAGAAAAAGAAACAAAATTACTATTCATGCAAACCTACACAACAACAATAAACTATGCACCGATTAGATATTTACATACATACAAATCAAAGCAATTAAACAAATCTAAAGTCAATCACAAAAACCCCATTAAATTTAACACAACTCATCCAAAACTACCCTCCTGATTATTTTGGTTTGGTCCAAGAGAATTTAAACAGCACCTGGAGCACTTCTGCCACACCCTGCTGAGCAGCCAAACCAGGTATGTTAACTTACCTTACCTTACCTTATCTTGATAAACTAAAGGAGAAGTTAATGTTTACACTTTCTTTCCACCGGCAGGATGGCCAGTCCTTCTGCTTTACAATAATGCATGTAAATGTCCAAACAAAACTACAAAAAGAACTCAAACAACACAACTATTTGTTCCCACTTAATAATAACTGAGAATCAATAATCATATTTTATTGGATAGTGGTCTCCATTAAACAGGTGTATTAGCTGGTGTCAGTAGAGGTTGTTTTCATCCCTCTATTTTCTAAAGAATTGAATAAATGAACAATCACTTTTGTAGTTTAGAAAGAAGAGGTCTAAACAATCCTCCAATAAAAACTTCATATCTTTCTTTATATTCTAATTCAAATAATTCATTTGCCATGCAGCCAGTCATAGTACAGGGATGAATTGTTGCAACCCTTGATTATTACAACCCCATAATTTTCTTGTTAATCTCATTAAATACATATACATACAGAGTATTTTTTCTCAGATCATCCAGACAGATTGATCAAAGGTATTCTATCTAAGAACAAACATCTCATTGCCTCCAGTCATGGACTTTGCAGGATTAACTCCTCCTGGATGCAGGTAGAGATAGTATACAGTAACTTGCATTTTGTGATTGACTCTGCAGCCATACCTCACACTGAGCATGCAGTGGAGAGGAAAACCTTTAAAGAGGAAGAAACCTCCAGCAGAATGTGTGTGGAGCTGTTTTTATCCTGTCAATGTTGTGTTAAATTGTTTTTGATGCAAATCATACCTTGGCAGGTAGGGTTCATGTTTAAATGGTAAATGGCCTGTACTTATATAGCGCCTTTATTCAAGTCAGGAGACTTGACCAAAGCGCTTTACACTACATTCAGTCATTCACCCATTCATGCACACACTGATGGTGGCAAGATACATTGTAGCCACAGCTGCCCTGGGGCTCACTGACAGAAGCGGGGCTGCCGTACACTGGCGCCACCGGGCCCTCTGACCACCATCAGTAGACAATGCAGGTGAAGTGTCTTGCCCAAGGACACAACAACACTGAAAGTCAGAGCCGGGGCTTGAACCGTCAATCCTTCGATTTCAGGGCAAACTCCTACATCCAATGCCACTGTCGCCCCGGATCAGTGGATCAAAAAAAATTTGAAGTCATCCCACTGAAAAGCAAGAACTTTTCTCTGATTGGCTGAAATAAGACTCTCGTTTTCTTTAGCAAGCACAGTGGTTTCCAAAGTTGTACCCACCAGGGGGCCTAAGAAATAGGAGAAAAATAAGGGGGAAAAGAGATTAAAAAAAAATTTCTTTTTATTTATCATGATATATAATTCTTCTAAAACATTTTTATTAAATGTGACTTGATAGGCCCATATAAAGATCAAAACATGAAAAACGTTGGGAATTTAAAACTGAACTAACTGTGTAAGGAGGGACTGACGGGTCACTGAAAGACATTTTCCCTTTTGCAAAAATGTATTTGTGTAAGACTGGCTGTTTTTAGCCTTTAAATCATAAACTATTAAACATTTGTATAAAAAATTATTTTCTCATAATAGAGTTTTCAATCATCGTAAAAAAAAAAAGGAAAACAAAAACACCATAGTCGATTAAGTTAAATTAGATCAAATATTTGCATCACTTGTGTTACATTCAGTGCATACTGTGCTTAACTACTTTTGTTTTTCTTTGAGTGTCTTTACTTGAGTAATTTTCTGGAGGGTAGCTTATAACCTTCACTCCACTGCCTTTCAAAGTTAAATATTGTACTTTCTACTCCACTACTTTTCTAGAAAGCTGCTAGTTACTTGATCCTTTTGGCTCAGCTTAGCTTTATAATCTGCTGTTGCTGTTTTTCTTTCTTGAAATGCAATTTCAACAAGGCAGATAGCAGCCCTTAGGAATGAATTTTTGACACCACTGTTTTAGAAATTTGAATGACATTCCACAAATGTGAGAAACTCAGGGCAGATATTAGTAGGTTATAAATTTTATTAAGGCGTTAATTGTTGCCAAGTTGTAAAGTAGGATGAGTTCTCAAAGCAGAGTTGTGGTTTCTTTGTGGCATGGACGAAATTTTCATTTCAGAAGTGGGGGGGGAATACGAGTATCTTTTAATATTATTAACTTCAGCATGTTTCACCATCCAATCACAGACCCGATTCATTAGCTAATGTAAAGCAAGCTTCTCAGGAGTGACAGCGATGGCAGCTAATTCTACAACAAAAGACGATGGGCCAATCAGGAGCTTGTGGGCGGTCTAAACTTAGGGAAGCAGGCTTCAGTTTTAGTTAGTCCTAGTACTGTCCCGTCCCACTCTCACAGAAAAAAATTGTGTCCCGTCCCGATCCCGGGCCAGAGTAGAAATCTAAATCCTGTCCCATCCCACTCCTGGTGAAATTACTCTCACTCCCATCCCGCTCCCAATCAGAATGACTCCCGCTCCAGCACCACTCCCATTCTTGTTGTTTTTGAGCGCAGGTGAAAAAGTCCGAGCGGAAGCGCTGTTGGTTTTTGGGTCGTGTAGTTTTTTTGACTCGCATTATAGTGTAGGCGTCAAGGAAAAAAACTACAAAATGGCTGTGCCAGTACTGGATTTTTTTTTTTTTCTTTCTATTTTATTTTATTTTTTGGCATTGATCCTAGTTTTTTTTAGTTACTATTGGCTTGCTCCTGCTCCCGTCTGCTCCCGTTAATGTTTAATCCTGTACCGTACCAATCACGTGATCGTTATTAATACTGACTCCCATCCCACGGGAATCCCGTGACCCCTGGGATTCCCGAAAAAATGTCAGTCTCTAGTAGATACACTTCTGGCACAAAACACCGGAGGAGGCAGCTGCCCCTACAGATCTTTAAGCTAGCGCAATGGCATCCACAACCTAATGCAACAGCCTGCCCCATTTCCGGCCCACTGTGGCACATAAACAGCTGTTCTGACCAGCAAATAGCATCTGCAGCCACAATGTACAGCTGCAATGCCGGACCAGGTACAGTGTGTTCGCCAACCTCTATTCATCCCACTGGAATTGGGGCAGGCAGTAGGCTGCCAGTTAAATGGCTGAGCCAATGTATGCTAGGGGGAAACCTTGGCAAGAAAGACAATGTTTGGCCACAACGTCACTCCAGAACCACCAACCTTCCAACGAAGAATGATGGCCAGTACACAGAGCTCACTGAACCTTTTGGCTGTCATTACAGCCAGCATAAAGGTCGTTTTCAGACTTAGGCTTCAAGAAATTTATTGTCATTTTTTATTCACAGAGTGCAAAATGCAGTAAAAAACATTTTTGTTGAGTTCTATTTTGAATATTCACCATTTAATGCAAGTATGATGTTATCAGTGTGATACAGAGTTTGATTTATGGCACCGGGGAAAAAGCTGCTGGTCCTGCATGGAATGCTGTGAAGTAATAATAATAATAATAATGAATTTTATTTATCATGCACTTTACATTTGATTTCAAATCTCAAAGTGCTACAAAACAAGTTTAAAAGACCATAACATTAAAAACAGAGTAAAAAGACAGTCATTAAAATCAATACATTAAAAGGCATACGTAGCCTATTAAAAAAAATCTAAAATCAACAATTGTAGGAATTTCTAAAAAGGAAAGTTTTTAGTCCTTTCTTAAAACAATCCACCGTCTGTGGGGCCCTAAGGCGGTCTGGGAGGGCATTCCACAGACGGGGAGCTGCGGCTTCGAAGGCCCTGACGCCCATTGTTTTTAGCCGTGTCCTGGGTGGGGCCAGACGGTGCTGTTGGCCTGACCGGGTCCGGGAAGAGGTGTGTGGTGTGAGCAGTTCAGTGAGATACATGGGGGCCGCACCGTGCACACAGTGATGGGTGTGCAGAAGAATCTTGTACTCTATACGGGCGTGAATGGGCAGCCAGTGTAAAGTGTGAAGGATGGGAGTGATGTGCTGGTGTTTCCTCACCCTCATCAGGACCCTGGCAGCGCTGTTCTGTACATACTGGAGCTTCTGAAGGCTCCTGCCAGAGATCCCGACGAGGAGAGCGTTGCAGTAATCCAGCCTGGAGGAGACGAAGGCGTGGACGAGCTTCTCTGCAGCAGGGAGGGATAGGGAGGGACGGAGTTTAGAGATATTACGGAGGTGAAAGAAGGACGTTTTGCAGATGGAGGTGACATGATTGTCAAAGGAGAGGTGGGGGTCAAGCTTGACCCCAAGGCTTGTAACAGAGGGAGAGAGGGGAATGGTATGACCACAGAATGAAACAGAGGTGAGAGGAGAGGAACGGAGTTGATGAGGAGTACCAGTTTGGATGGCCTCTGTTTTTGAGGCATTAAGCTGCAGGAAGTTTTGACTCATCCACGCCTCTATATCCTCCAGGCAGGAGCTGAGGCGGGTGACAGAGTTGGCGGGGGAGCTGGGAGGAGTCATTTTAATGTAAAGTTGTGTGTCGTCAGCATAGCAATGGAAGTTGACCCCATGCCTGCCGACGACACAACTAAGGG